TCCTCCTCCTCCTCTCCTTTCTCTCCTCCTCTCCTCTCCTCTCCTCTCTCCTCTCCTCTCCTCTCCCTCCTCCTCTCCTCTCCTCCTCCTCTCCTCTCTCCTCTCTCCTCCTCTCCTCTCCTCCTCAGGAAACGACAGATGCTGATTTCAGAAGACGGATGGAAGAGTTGTCTGCGTTAATGAAGCTCCGCCCCCTATAGATCCTGGACCAGCATGCATCAGCCCCATTGATCAGGCAGCCACACTGTAATGTTCCTTTCAGCTGGCATCTCGTGCACAGAGACAGATGGAGGGAGGCGGGACGGTCACGAGGGAAAGCAGAGGCGGAGGAGAGAGGAGGAGATGAGATAGTTGGCTAACTGGGTGAAGTTACGTTTAATACGGTGGGAGAATTAGATTTTACTCTCTTTCTGTAAAACAGTGAAACTATTGAGTGTCACACTGTGTTTTCTCTGCTGGTATTTCTGCACCAAACTATAAAAATGTAGTGGCCCCCCGAGTCACACACTTAACGTAAGGACCTGTGGTATCAGCCACTGTAATGTAGTGAGTAAAGCTTCACGTGTTAAAGCTGCATTCTCTGTAGTGACCAGCAGGGGGCGACTCCTCTGCTCCCATAGACACTATGAGGAAATGACTCTACTTCTCTGTAGTGACCAGCAGGGGGCGACTCCTCTGCTCCCATAGACGTCTATGAGGAAATGACTCTACTTCTCTGTAGTGACCAGCAGGGGGCGACTCCTCTGCTCCCATAGACGTCTATGAGGAAATGACTCTACTTCTCTGTAGTGACCAGCAGGGGGCGACTCCTCTGCTCCCATAGACGTCTATGAGGAAATGACTCTACTTCTCTGTAGTGACCAGCAGGGGGCGACTCCTCTGCTCCCATAGACGTCTATGAGGAAATGACTCTACTTCTCTGTAGTGACCAGCAGGGGGCGACTCCTCTGCTCCCATAGACGTCTATGAGGAAATGACTCTACTTCTCTCTGGATTTATTCCCTCAGTAAACATTGTAAACATGAGTTTATGGTCTCAGTCTCTAGTTTCAAGTCTTCTTCAACACAACATGATGTTCATTCAGTGAATTAAGGTCCATTTAGAGTCAAACAGACCATAGAGCGGGGGACGCTTTAGGGCGGGACTACACGCTGATTGACACCTGCATCCTCTAGAACGGAGTGAAAGAGCGAATGTTTTTTCCAGCCCTGAACAGAAAACAAATGAAACGTTTGACTGAACCGACGAGGAGACGTTATTGAATCAGTGAGGAGACGTGATGAGCTCCTGATGGGATGAATCTCATCCCCAGAAAATCAATGATGGATTTAGGTCAGTTTCTAACATTAATTAATGTTTCTTCTTTTCAGGAAGTGTTGTAAAACGCCTCACGACCTCCAGCACCGACTTGCATGACTGGATTATTTCATATTTGAAAGGAGTATTTGTGCGTTTGAGGAGCCTTCAACTTCAAACTGGACTCTCGTGTCCTGAGCTTCCTTTCAGTTCCCCTGTTGCATGGCAACACGTGTTTCATTGTGGTCTTTGTGGTCAGATGGGGCACTTTATCCATGTGAAGGAGCCCAGTGGAGAAGGAGCCTGCGGGATTCATAGATGGATGGATGACATCTTACATTTCACATCAGCTTCATCTGCCTCGAATCCAGCATCCGCAGCGCCGTCCATCCTATAAACATTAAACACTGAAGTGAAGAACAAATTGGAGGTTTTTATACATTATTTGAGCATTTCTTTATCTGCTATTTTGTACTTTTACTCCACAACATGTCAGAAATAAATAATGTTCTTTTTGCTGAAGAGTTTTTGTAGTTTTCTGTTGATTTATTTCAGAAATGTGGTATAACTGAAATATAGCTGACCTGTGGAATCTTAGTGACGAACTGACGTGTTCCTTTATGTGTAGAACGTAGTGATAAACTGAGGTACGAAGTGTTTCTTCTCATGATGATCGTCATAATGTCACTTCATCTTTGTTAAAAGTGTCGGGTTTTTTTCAGCTTTATCCGTTTGTCTCTCAAATAAAAAATAAGAAAAAAAGAAAAGCGGTGAGGAAGGACCCAGTCATACCTGACCTTTTTGTCTCCTCGGGTTGCCACGGTAACGTGGCATGAATGCTGAAAGCTAAACATAGACAACTAACTAACGCACAAACACACACACACACACACAGTCGTCCCACTCGTGTGGACAAAAGCTCAGTGAGGTGGTGATTATGTAGAAATACACACACACACACACACAGTAGTGGGTTTTATTACAAGGGCTTAAAGGCTGCAGGTGGGGAAGGACAGGTGTGTGTGTGTGTGTGTGTGTGTGTGTGTGTGTGTGTGTGTGTCGGGGTGTTCACCTCATGTTCAGCATCGCAGATCTAGAAGCTGATGTTGTAGTTCCTCGTCTCAGGTGGTTCATCAGCACAGTATCAGGACACAATCAGGCCTCAACAGAACAACATGAATGGATGTTATTTGTTTACGGCTTCGGGCGAGAGGGATCCGTTCCGTATTTGGTGCAAAGCCTCGTTTCATCGGGTTAAGTGTCCCTGGGGGGCTTCAGCACTTGCTACAGGGAACAAATGCAAACTCTGTGTTGTTTCTACCTGTGGAGTACTTCTTCTCCCTAGTGGTACACACCACAATACTATTAGTCCAGGTACGCATTCAGACCCCCCCCCCCCCGGCGCCCACGAGGCTCTTTTATCATCTGCGGATTTCTCCCAGCAGGCCGCGGGGGGAAGCGGTGCGGAGGAGCGCCAGCAGGAAAAGCAGCCGACGGTCACCTGCGGCGCGGACGCGGTTGCCGTGGTTACCCGTAGCTCAACAAAAACGGAGCGTGCGGATTGAAAGACCCCCTCGGGTGTGGCGTTACACGCACGGACGCGCCTCCGTCTGTCTGTCGCCATGGAGACGGCCGATGGCGGGTGGGGAAAAAAAAAACAGCTGTTTCCTAAAACTGTTTCCGAAGTTTAAAAAATTGTTATTTTCGTCTCGCAGAAAACCTGAAGTGTCGTTACGTTCCTCAGATGTGAAGGAAGAGGTTGATTCATCACTTCCAGTGTGTGTCTGTGTGTGTGTGTGCGTGTGTGTGTGTGTGTGTGTGTGTGCTGGCATCGGAGAGCAAACCTCACCTTGACGTATTAACCAAGTCAGGCCTCATTACACACACAGACACACACACACACACACAGACACACACACACACACACCTTTCCTCCCCACTCTGCCTTCTCTCACATCTTTCATTTCTCCGTCCTCTCGACTGTGAAATCAATTCAATCTCAGTCGGTTTCACTCAGAAACACAGTTTATTCACACGGAGACACAAAGTACACAAGTAGGTACACAAAGTACCCATTTACATGTTATATGTAGATGATGAAATGCGACCTGCTGGGGAGCAGTTTGTATCTGAAGTGAAGTATTAAACCAAACGAAGAAAGAAGGTAATTATGTGTGTAAATGTTAATGTGAATGTAAACGTGCACACAGGAAGGAGGTCGGTGCGGAAACACGGAAACACACACATGTATATTTTCATTTTCATCCGACACACACAAATAATAATAAATGTCGTGCTTTGTCGTCTCAGCCTGTTGTAGTCTGAAGGAGTTCATTCATTTAAAACACACACAGACCACATTACAAAGGGCCATTAAAAGTACATTAGAGGCGTCAGGGTTATAAATTCACAACGTATCAGAGGAGTCATTAAGAAATGAGGGTCAACACGCACACGCGTGCAGGTATGTTATTAGAAATCACCCGACGATGAGACTGACACCCTGAAACAACAGCAGCGAGGCCTGCGAGTGTGTGTCTGTGTGTGTCTGTGTGTGTGTGTGTGAAACACTAACTGAGGTGGAAAATAAAACCACAAAACAAAAAGACAAAAACACAGCCAGTAGTATTCATGTTCCAGGGAACGCTAAAGATTCCACGAGTTCCACGGGTTCTTTCCTCGCCGGTAACGCCGGTTTACCTGCAGCGCCGAAAGACTAAACCAAAACCAACAAAGTCCTGCAGAAGAATGACATGAAATGCTTCATTTCTCCCTCCAGGCTGCCGAGGACGTCCGGCCGACGTGGCGAGGAGCTCACGGGCGCGTCGGCCGGCGTTTCCACGAAGGTCACAGGAGCGAAGCGACCGGAGGCAAACGAGGCGTTTCCGGATTCTGCTGCTTGAAAATGAAACAACGGGACTTTTGTTGTGAAGAACGTGTCGACGAATTAGTGAAACTCTGTTTAGGGAAAAACAGCAGCAAACAGAGCAGGAAATGACCTGTTTTTATTGGTGGACTTTGTTAGCGACCTTTCTTCAATAAAACAAATGGACTCATACATCAGGGAGGAAGAGTAGGCAGCACAATTAATGGGGGGGGGGGGCTATTGTGATAAAATGTAGAATATAACTTGTGTTTGTCTCCAAAGACGACGCCGTCGGTCTTCTAAAACTGCAGGAAGGGGCCACGCTCGCGTGCCGCCAACAACATTCGTGGTCACTGATTCCACACGCGGCCAGAAGCAGCTTTGTGTGATGCAAAGACGTCAGCTGGCCGAGCCTGTGGAGAACCCGGACAGCAGGACGCGTGTGGTTCATGACAAGCCTCCGGACCTCTTCTGCAGAAGCGACCAGGTCTGTGTCTGCATGCCGTGTCCGGTTTTGGACCACAAGCCGCACAAAGTCCTTCCGCCGAAGGAGCAGCTTGAGGGGCAGAAGGTGGAACTGGGGAGGCGGGACGCCAAAATGCAGCGGATCAGGTCCAGGAGATGAAACACATGGGAAAGCCACATTCAGAGAGACGGCAGACGGGGTCCAGGTCCTCGCGGCTTTGATACGGTCTCTGGAAAGAACCCGGGAGGAGCTCATTGGGACGGTTGAGGCGACGCACAACAGAGGAGCGAGGCCGAGAGCTGGAGCAGGAGGTCTCCAGGCTGATCAGGCAACGTGTTGAGGTGGACCACCTGCAATTCCTGCAGGGCTTCGCGTCCCCGAATGCTTCCCACGTCCCCCAGGGACCGGAAAGAGGTCGGCGTGACTCTGGATCCCGACACGACTCCCAGCGCCCGCATCCGGTCAGGTGGCGACCAACGAGTTCACGCCCCACAGATTCAACCCCCAGTTGCTGGGTCTTGGGAAAGTTTCCCCTGGACATTGGACGCGACCAAAGCGTCAATCAAAAGAAAGGGAATCATCCCGCTGTGCCCCGACAACGGCCACTGGACCGTGTGGTTGAAGAACAAAGAAGAATACGCCGGCCTCGTTGGCGCTCCTCTCGCCCTCCCTCTGGGCTCGGACCCCGGAAGGTGGGAGTGTTGGTGGACTACGAGGAAGGCCTGGTCGCCTTCCATGACTCAGATGTGCTCCTTCACCGAGAAGCTCCTCCCCTTCTTCAGCCCCGGGGTCTGTGACGACGGCGTGCTCGGCCCCTTTGTTCATTTCCAGCGTCACTGACGATCATTGAAGAGACGTCTTCACTGATGTGGTGGTTTAATTCTGTCATTGTCATTGGCTTCAATTGTCTGTCAAACAATGTTTTACTGCGTGTGTTTTCCCTCCAGTGGAGAGAACGTTCTTACAGTAGAATGACGCATTTTGCTTCTGTGAAAAACTGCTTTGTTTGGACCAAATATTGTACAGATATTTGACTTGTTACATGAAGATGCCTTTGGTCCACTGGCAAAGTGCAGAAACTGATATTACTGAATAATCAAATATTACGAAGGTCGACATTGCACAGAGGCCTTTTGTCCCATTAGACATCTGCACTAATTATCCCAGTAGGAATGGTCACTAATGACACTGCAGAGGCGTCTCCATCTGTTCACGTGTCCCTCTAAGCCAAAACATGACCCCAAAACTGAGCTAAACGGATCCATATGGAGTCATCCATAATTAGATCATTTTCACCTGTGTTTTCATGTCACATGTCCACTGGGTCACATGTCCACCAGGTCACATGTCCACCAGGTCACATGTCCTCCGGGTCACATGTCCTCCGGGTCCCATGTCCACCAAGTACATGTCCACCAGGTCACATGTCCCCCGTGTCACATGTCCACCAGGTCACATGTCCTCCGGGTCACATGTCCACCAAGTCACATGTCCTCCGGGTCACATGTCCATCAAGTCACATGTCCACCAGGTCACATGTCCTCCGGGTCACATGTCCACCAAGTCACATGTCCACCAGGTCACATGTCCTCCAGGTCACATGTCCACCGGCTGACATGTCCACCAGGTCACATGTCCTCTAGGTCACATGTCCACCGGCTCACATGTCCACCGTGTCAGGTGTCCACCGGCTCACATGTCCACCAGGTCACGTGTCCACCAGGTCACATGTCCACCAGGTAACATGTCCACCGGCTCACATGTCCACCGTGTCACATGTCCACCAGGTCACATGTCCACCAGGTAACATGTCCACCGGCTCACATGTCCACCGTGTCACATGTCCACCAGCTCACATGTCCACCAGGACACGTGTCCACCAGGTCACATGTCCACCAGGTAACATGTCCACCGGCTCACATGTCCACCGTGTCACATGTGCACCAGGTCACATGTCCACCGGGTCACATGTCCGCCAGGTCAGATGTCCACCGGGTCACATGTCCACCGGGTCACATGTCCACCGGGTCACATGCCCGCCAGGTCACATGTCCACCGGGTAACATGTCCACCAAGTCACATGTCCACCGGGTCACATGTCCACCGGGTCACATGTCCAACCTGATGAGAGCTTCATACTCTGAGTTGTGGGACATAAAAGCTGTTTTGTCCTCATGCAGCATAAACGGAATAATCTTGCATTTATTTGTGCAACATATTAACATCAAGCCTTTGATGTGTTTGTTCAGGGGGGCCGTCCCTGTTGTTGTAGCGACAATACAGTTGGTTTCGATCTGTCAATCAACTGCTACCAACACGCGTCTGAGCTGGAAGGGCCCCATCGCTCGCCGCCTCGGCGCCGCTGCTCGTAGGCGACGCTCCCGGCGATGTACCTGATGAAGGGCGACGCAGCGGGTTTCAGCAACAATAGAGGAACGTGGTGAATGCAGGAGCAGAATTGCAGTTGTCCAAACATAATGAGATGCACTTCAGAGGAGAACAGTCATCGTTTGGATGTTTTAAAGGAGAGAAATCAGGATGTCTGGTTACGAGTTGAGCATCATAGCGGAGGAATAAATGGAGCGACCTCTTTCTTGACTTTGTCTTGTGCTGAATATGGTTCGTCCGACTGGAGTGGAGGTCGGGCGGCCTGCAGCATCTACAGTAAAAGTCTTAAAGACATCTGAGCGTCGCTCATCACGATCATTTCTCACAGGAAAATGACAAAAGTCCCCCGTGATGATGATAATAACACGCCTGAATACAATGCTGGTTCAGTAACAGTCTTTTTATCTGTTATATCTAAAATCTTACTTAAATAAAGAACACGTTGAACAAACTGTGACACTGTCACATGGTCCCTTTTCCTTCATATATGCTTAATATGGGGAATGCTTAAACTGGTAATGATTTTCTTTTTAAACACAGAACATTGCTGCTGGAGAAGAGGCTCATACAAACATCACACACACAAACCCAGTTTGTTCATTTAAGGAAGCAAATTAAAAAGAGTAAACAACCTTTGGCACACGTTTGGATTCATAATGTTCAGCATCCATCTGTACATTGTGTCTTGTGACAAGACGAGAGTTTTTTATTATTTCTTTAATCATGTCAAAGAGTCGCGGTGTTTTTATTCTGTCGTTATTCGAGGTTAAGATGCGTTTGTATATTTACCCATTGTGCTTACAGTGCTTTCATGGGTCATTTGTTGCTAATAGTATTGCTTTATATCATATTATAAGATGCCTGAGGCCGTAAATCAGCACCAGCTTGGCAGACCGGCTGTGAGCTAATTAGTTATAAATAAAATGCAGCAGGATGAAGAAGATATTTTTACTTGTTATGGTGAATCTAAGCTGCTGTGATGCTGCGTTTGAGGATCCTCCTCCAAGGAAATGTGCAGCTTCTTTGACTTAAAACAGTTTTGATGTGCAGGAACTCCATTTTAAGACGACAGAAACACAACTTGACCGTGAAATGGATTCAACATGCGAGTCAGAGACCACGGTGACCCGGCGATGACACGCTCAAGCGTGGGCTCGTCTGTGGGAGAGGAAGGTCGGCGGATCCGAACGCGGCCTCAGCGCAGATTGTTCTCTGGTGGCCGCTGCCATCTATTGGCCGCCGGGCTCACTCGCCATGGAGAGACAAAGGAGACGGAGATGATGGGGCCCAGTGCATGCTGGGAAATGCCAAGGTGCACCCTGATCAGAGAGCTGATGGTCTGTAAACTGTGAATGTGGGACGTTATAAACGAACGTGGATGAATGTGGTCTGCAAACTACAAGTAGCCCACAAGTCAACAGTGTCATTAACAAGCTTTATTTGTGTCAATCACAGAACACATGTGCACAAGAGACCTTTACACAGAAAAAATGGATTTTATCTAAGTTTATTGTTTCTTCTTTCATAATAACACATAGAGCTTGACCTTTTACACGGTTAGTTTGACCCCAGGAGGTTTTTCTGTGATGTTACTTTGAGTTCAGGTTCTTCAATTGATTGAATTCATGATCTGTAACTGCAAATAAATCTGTGAACCCGCCAAATCAATGGAGTTTGTTTACGCACATTTTCCTACAAGGATGACTTTGGTGACCTTTAACCCGCAAATTCACGCCGTCTACCGGAAGGCAACCGATTCGAAGGTTTTTGGATTGTTTTTTCTTTGTTGTTTCCGGATGTGAACGGCAATTAAGATGGTTGAGAAATTGTTGAAGATTGTTCCAAAGGTGCCTCCCGGGGTTAATAAAGCTGCACAGTCAGATGAGACTATATAAGGCTACGATGAGAAACAAGTGATACAACCCCGAACCCCCCCAACAAAAATATAACAAAAATATATTCGCTATTCAAGCCGCATTCTCTAATATAAAGCCTAATATGAAAAGCTGGAAGTAAAAAAAAACCTCTGGAATGTGGAGATTCTCTGTCTGCAGCACCCCCCCCCCCCCCCTAAAAGCCTGAAAATACATTGAAAGAGAAACAGAGGACCACTGAGTCCTCCTGGTGCAGTGCAGAGGTGAGAGGGGTCAGGGGTCGGGGGCCAGAGGGGACTGGCTGAAGGGTCTCTTAGTAGCCCTTCATCGCGATGGACGCTTCTCTGGTTTCGTGGCGTCTGACCTGATGGATCATCAGGAGGGAGACCAGCAGGCCCATCACCTGTGAAGACGAGCACTCGGTCATAAAGACGGACACTATTTCCGATTGTTTTCATATATATCGGATTCAAACTAAAATGCAGCTTCATGAAGGGAAGTGTTTTTACTGAGATAAAATAGATTTTTTAAAATAAATTTTGTGCGCATTAGCACTCCAAGCTAACAAGCAGCATTGGCTACACATTTCTTATTAAATTACTTTTTAAAGCAACCAAACCCAAAGCCTTTCTGAGCCCAAAGCTCTGCACAAAGATATGAGTTAAGTGGCATTAGCTAACAAGAGCTAAGTACTCCTTAGACCTGAAATCAAGGAGCCTTGGGAAGAGTCAGCGAGGTAACACAAACGTTGTATCCTAGATCTCACAACCACGTCACGATGTCTTAACATCGACAACCTCAATATGTTCAGAACTTCCGCCAGAAACGATTCTTTGACCTACAAAACAAGAGCTTTGTCCCACCGATGTGACGAGCTGAAGCCAAAAAAGCTAAATTAAGATTAATCCTCAACCACGGTTTCTGAATCCTTCAAAGATTCCGAGGGCATTAAAGCTCAAACGGAGCGCGAGAGCGGAGCTTACAGCCGTGACAGCCAGTCCGAAGAAGAAGCCCATCACGATCTGCAAGAAGAAGTTGAACCAGGAGAAGATGAAATCCCCGCATGTCTGAAACAAAAGAGACGGAGGAGGCTCATGGTGAGGAGACATTGCGGCCCGGTGAGCTGGATGCGGCTGGGATTGGTTGGTTGGTTGAATACCTGTTTATAGATTTGGTCTGGGCCTGAGACTCCCTGTAGAAAAGCAGAAGCAAGAATATGACGATAGTGATAACAAAAGCATTTTACACAGTAATAAATACTTACAGCGCATACAGACTAGTTTGTTTGAAGCTGACTGACCCAGTAGGTCTGCCAGTGACTTCTCAACATTTAACATATTTCAAATACTGTCAACATTTTATTCAGAAAGTACCTCTGGGGTTTTCATCACTTGGATTTACTTTCTAAAAGTCAAGCTTTCTCTTTAGAGAAGGCCTCCCGAATACCCATATTTGATCAAATCCGATCTTCCTGTTTCATTTCATTGAACCAACCTGGGGCTTGGCTTTGCACCCGGGTGCATATGCTGTGAAGGGTTGATACGCGCCTCGGCTCGCTGACCGGCAGTCACAGCTGGAGGGGATGTTGTCCTCCCAGTCATCCGAGCTCACCACGCCGCAGCACTGGCCCTGCCATCACAGGGAAAACTGAGTTTCAGGAACTGTAAACCGTCTTGAAAAAGGAACAGGAAGTAGACTGTGGAAAGAGATCTGACGATGAAAGACAAAACTGTGTAAATATCCAAAATCCTTACTTAGTGAAGGGGTCATTTAGGGGGGGAGTGTTCTTTTCGTTTTAGTTGTTCTATAGACGGGTACTTCTCTTGTTAAACAAATCTTGATGCATGATGGCCATCAATGGATCGATAATTACTTTGCGACCCTGCAGGAGATTGTTGGAGTGGTTAAACCAGTCATGCTTTGGTCTTCCCCGTGGATCAACAACCACACAGGGCTGCTGCCATCTTGGTTTTGCACAGCGCCAGTTTGGTTTTCTTGACAGTCAAGTGACTCAAGAGCGCGGAGATACATACATTCCATCAAAACGGTGGACAATTTCAAGACAAAGCTGTGGCTGCGACTTGTCAATCAGCGCGTAGCCCCGCCCTAAAGCATCCCCTGCTTCATGGTCGGTTTGAATTTGATGTATTGAAGAAGACTTGAAACTAGAAACTGAGACCGTGAACTCATGTTTACAATGTTTACTGAGGGAATAAATCAAGAGATTTTTCTCATAGAATTGCGACCTGATGAGTTTCCTTGTAGTGGTCATTTAAAAGAATGTAAGTTTAATGTCAGTGTAATGCAATCATCAATGTTAACTCTTTACAGGTGTAGTTATACTGAACTAGACTTGATCTAATAGCACAAAGAGAACATTACTATGGTCTGTATTTGCTCCAGCATCCCTCCTATGGACGGTTCCTTCAAGTAGGGCTTAACCACCTCAGAAGAGGTGCTGTCAAGCTGTTCCTTGGCCTACAAGAAAAGAAGGAACAATATTACCATCAAGACACAAAGAACTGTGCATTATGGTGGACGGAGACAACAGGATATGTTATTGTCTAAAGACTAAATAGATCGGTAGGTACATAGACGTGATTATGAATTCCACCTCTTTTCTGTGACATTTTTCAAGTTATATTTAGCGTTGTTGAGTGAGTAAAACACATGACCTTGTTTCTTGCGACAACCACAACGATGCCACAGATCAGCATGATGATCATTCCAACGCCCATGAAGCCTGCAAACTGCAAATGGAACCACATTCAAAGGTATATGTTGATTTGCTCATTGATTGAACAAACTAAACATATTATTTGTGCGATTCTACGTACTATTTTGAGGGCAATACTGTTCTCGGAACATCCCGCGTAGATTCCGAGGCCGGCGACCCCGAAGACAGCGATGGCGAACACCCAACCCCAACCCAGGCTTGGGCCTCCAACCATCGACATCTGCTCCGCCACCACAGGGAACAGGGGAACAACACAAACATCAGATCGATCCAAAGAGAGGACCAGGGAACAACACAAACATTGGATCGATCCAAAGAGAGGACCAGGGAACAATACAAACATTGGATCGATCGAAAGAGAGGACCAGGGAACAACACAAACATTGGATCGATCCAAAGAGAGGACCAGGGAACAACACAAACATTGGATCGATCCAAAGAGAGGACCAGGGAACATCACAAACATCGGATCGATCCAAAGAGAGGACCAGGGAACATCACAAACATCGGATCGATCCAAAGAGAGGACCAGGGAACAACACAAACATTGGATCGATCCAAAGAGAGGACCAGGGAACATCACAAACATCGGATCGATCCAAAGAGAGGACCAGGGAACAACACAAACATCGGATCGATCGAAAGAGAGGACCAGGGAACAACACAAACATCGGATCGATCCAAAGAGAGGACCAGGGAACATCACAAACATCGGATCGATCCAAAGAGAAGACCAGGGAACAACACAAACATTGGATCGATCCAAAGAGAGGACCAGGGAACAACACAATGATCGGATCAATTTTTCCAAATGCATCTTCCAGACAGAAATGTTGTGTGTGACCAGGGGAGGGCCGTGTTGTATGAAGGATCCGTGTCGCGCGCGTTAGCCAGATCAAAATCATGCATCCCAGAATTTGGCCGTCAGAAGCACCGGAAATCTGACAAAACAACTGACTGTGTTTTGCAAAAATGCTGCGACAGAAATGGAATGTAAGTATGACACACAATAGTTTGATACAAAGAGCTGAAAAGCTGAAGGCTTTTCTCTCTCACGCACCACCCCTCCCCCCTCGTTAGCAGTCTGTTATGCCATCGTTGAGCCCTGCTCCTTTTCCTGTAGCAGAGAGAGTCGACTGCGAGTGGAAAATATCCCCCTGTTCACATCTGCTTTGCATTAGAACAGAAATGTCTGGTCTTGGCAGGCCGCCCGCGTCCCAAATCAACACTCTGAAACGTTCACCTCCACGTTCCTAAACGTGTAAGAATACGTGTTCAAGAATTGGACCGTGGTCGGGGTTATCAAAAATTCGTAGAGGAGGACCTTCCAGCCCCCCGCATCTAAAGATCCGGTCACATCCGATGTCCGGACTCCTGACTTAGCGTAAACATCAGCGAACAGTGTGTATGTTGAATAGTGTTGGTGTGTCTCTAACCCCCCTTTGGCTGGCACATCGGCTAGTTGACCCGCAGACCTTACATTCCTCAGCCAGGACAGAGACTGACTCCCCATCCTGTCAGACCCGGGTCTGCCTGCTCGGCACATCCTGCGTCCCCCCCTTACCTAACTCTTAAAACAAGACAAGACAGCGAACCCCCAACTAAGCCCATGAAAACAACTTTTCATTATCAAACGGAAAGAAATAGCTGCTTTTGTTTTATTCCAAAAATCTCCAGTTCACAGTATTTATGCTTTCATTTGCATTACAGTAAACAACACGAACCAACCCTGTACCCCCCCGTCCCCCCGTCCCCCTCTTAACGGATTCAGCTGTTTCACTCCGCGAATTTACGGTAAACCCGCCGCTCGCTGTGCCAACAGGCGTCCTGTACGCTGCAAATGTTTGCCAGAGACCAGCTGTGCGTAGTTACCACGAGGGGGAGGATTCATCCGGCACAGCCCTCCTCCCCTCTCTGTTAGGCCTTAGTCTGACTCATGTTTATGTTTTCCTGGGAAGCGGGAAAAGTGCGGCGTTGTCGTGGTCTGCCGGGAAAAAGTCCCGGGAAACCTTTTCAATCGGCAACAAACTTTGTTCAACACTCAAACCACATTTTCAAAATTCTTCACACATTCAGCGACACACAAGTGCACATGGACCCAACGAGGATTTTGAAACGGGTTGTTGTTGTTGTTGTTTACCTGGTTGCTGAAGCTGGTGGCCTTTGCCATCAGGAAGATCAGCACACATCCGAGGACCTGAAGGAACGTCACATTAATTAGTTTGTGTAGAAACAAAATGAAAGCCCAGCGTATGGAGGCAAAGGTCTGCAACCAAACATGGATCCTTAGAACAAACGAAAACAAAGAGTGCATGAAGTAGAAAGTATGTGGAACACAAGACAATGTGGAATAAAGAAGAGAACTTGCAGCGTGCAACATGCGATTGATTATTAATTAATAATTTAGTTGACAAAAAGTTTCAAAAGTTCACAACTTCAGAAGTGTGTTCACGGTCTGCGTTGTTCCCGTCAGGCTGTTTCATTCAACACTATTTCCTCTCTTTGGTTTCCTGCTGGAGTTCATGTCATTGCTGCTTTCAGCCACTGAAGGGAGACAAAGACTGAACGGAGACAAAGACTGAACGGAGACAAATAGTGAACGGAGACAAATACTGAACGGAGACAAAGACTGAAGGGAGACAAATACTAAAGGGAGAAAAAGACTGAAGGGACAACTGCAGTCTCCTGCAAACACGGTTAAACGGTTCAATCTGGACACATTTTTTAACTCTCTGCCTCCATTGTTTTCATACCTACATTATTCAATATTCAATTTTTAAGTGGCTACAAAATAAGAATATGATGTATCTAATTTAATGTAAAAAAAAGACACTTTCAAAAACAATCAATTGGAAAATGTGAAATGAGGAAAATCCAGAAGAAAGAAGAAAAGTGTGAAGGTTGAAGAGGGAAAAGAAAAGGGTTTCAGTTGATGTGATTTATGTTGTTATGTTAGTGGTTTATAACACACACAGTTACATTCTTCACGCGGCCTTTTATTGTTTTTTATACAAAGGAAAAAAAAAGAAAAAGTCCTCAGATGAGCTCTGATTGGACACGGCCCTGAAGCTCCGCCCCCTTGAGGATGAAAACATGTCTATGCAGAAGAAAGGAATGAAACTTAATTAGAGAATAAAAGGGGGTTTAAGTGAAACTTAACTCGTGTCCTCACAGTCGCTGCAGGTATGCGGCTGCTTACGGTGTTTTACACCAAAACTCATGTGTACAAATTCCCTTTCACAAAAACAACATCCAGCACTTTGGCCACTTTGATAAGGAAAGAAAAAGGGAGATTTCTGTCTCTTTTTAAGCATCATAAACTTTTTCCCGCCCATTTTGTTAAAGCTGAAAAAGAAGAAGTCTTTTCTTTCTTCTTTCACTCAAATGCAAAACCCTTCTTTTTCATGAACATGGGGTTCAATAGAACCCAAATAAAAATCTCTAATTAATCATGAAACATATCTGGTGGAGTTTCTCTTTTTTAAATCTTTTTAAATAGAAAAATCCCCCCACAAAGGATCCGAAGGTGGTCTTCTACTCACTGCGTACAGCACATTGAAGAAGATAAAGAGGCACTTCAGGCATCCGTTGATTTTCCCCATCTTCGTTTTTTTGGGATCGCTTCTCAGAGATGTGAGCGTGTCGTGTGAGGAGGTCTGTGTGCGTCCGTGTGAGTCTGTGTGCGTCCGTGTGAGTCTGTGTGTACCCCCGAGGCTGAGCACAGAGCCACAACGCACAGAGCTGCAACACTAGAAATGAGACGTGCGCAGGACGTTTCTGGCTTTTAGCTTCAGAACTACCTGATGTGCTTTTTCCATCAAAATGGCTGATATGACACCAGCATTATTTTACACACTATTCATGTCCAGAACAAACTGTGCAAAAAGATGAATGTGTGCACATCTGTCTTTACACTTTGTGACTCTCTGGTTCCAGCAGAACTCAAATCTATAGTTTCACGTTGTGAAAAAATACATTTTCATTTAACAAGGGGACTATTTCCAGCGGCGGATTGATCTACATTTGATGGTGTTTGTGGGACCAAATTAACCACAAAGATGTGTTTTGATGGAAATCTATGGTTGGAGGTTGGCTTCAGTTTAGGGAAGAGAAACTGCTCAATTCTGGAGGGATTGTAACAGAAAGCAGATGGGCAGTGAAACGTGTTCTCAGGTGTCACACGTTTCCACAGAAACGTAAAAACAGGACTTTCGCTCTTTAGCGTTTGCATGCACACATTCATACGTTGTTCTCTTTACTGTGTATATATATATTATTATCTTTAATCCAATTTTTTTTTTTGTATTCATTATTTTAATCAATATCCTGAATCTTGACTCTTGAAAGGAGGCCGATGCGTTGAGTTCAGAGAGGAAAGAAGCTGTGAAATTTGGAGCTTTTTTGAAGAGAAGTAATTAGTTAAGTCACATTATTACCGACATGTGTGAAGACATCCGTGAAGACATCCGGTGTCTCCACGTCCTCCTCGGTCCTTACATGGTCAACTTCATGTTCAATGTCCAAACAATCAGCGACATCGTGGCGACAATGTCCAACTCTTACATACGTGTCAAAATCAGGCTTATGAAGAAATGATTTACCACAGGTCGTTAAATATGCACACACGTGTAACACGCCCACATTGTTGGTCATTTCTCATCTTATTATGTATATTAATTGTTGTATAAAATTGATCATTTGTCGCATGAGAATTTTTCTAACAATAATACACACCGTTTTATTCATATATATATATATAATAATTTATGTATACGGGTAAAATAAGTACGAAACACGTCTCTTTTTCTCAGTAAAGATATTTCTAAAGGTGCATTTGGCACAATGTTCATCAGATGTTGATAACAGAGTCTTTCAGAAATGTGTAATAGTGTAATATGTGTAATAAAGTGTTGGTACGAAAGCCTTCGTTGCTGATGAAGCTTCGTGACGCCTCCTGTGTGATTTCAGCTCATTCACTCAAACACCTCAAAGGTTCCGTTGGCTTCTATTAATCCTGTTTTTGGTTCTTTCCACAGAATCTCCATTGGATTCAAGGTGATTGGCCGGAAGATTCTAGCAGCTGAGCGTCTCCTCGGCGGCGTGTTCGGGGTCACAGGTCCGGTGTTTTTGGGGGGGATGTGCAGCACCATCGGACCTCCACACGTGTTGTGAGTTCTCTTTTACTCTCGTGACCTGACTAGCCATCTTTAAACGAGCTTCAACAAGCTCGTTCTTCATTGCCAACCCGCTGTCGTCTTCTTTGAAACAATTGTACCTGCTGATTCCAGGTCTTTGTGAAGCTCGTCTTCTCTTCCCTCGTCTGTCAGCGATGACCTGCTTTCCACTTCCTGATTGCTCTGAGGTGTGAATTTCATCAGAAGACCAAGAACTCGCACAGGAAGGACACACAAGCAGACTGAGAGACGGACGATGCACCGCCTGCCTGCAAAGACGGACAGAGCGGTTTTACTATATTACATTATAGGTCAGGTCGGTTTCACTGTAACCAAAGCGACTCGTGGTGACTTGCCTTGAGTGAACCGTCGACTTGGAAAGTCCCAAATGAAGCCTGTCTAAGTGTGCGTAGACGGTGTGCGTGTGTGTGTGTGCGTGTAAAATAGTTCTCTGATGTTTCCCAGAGGGGACAAACAAGTTTAATGTTTAAAAGTCGTCAGATCGTGAAAGAAAGAAACTTTGGCGCAACGTTGAAAAACTGTTTTGTAGAATAAAATAAAAACGAATGAACCATTAAAACAGTTGTTTGTCCTCTCTAACTTCTCTGGATCTATGAAGTGAAAACTACAGTATGCATGCAGGAGAATACACCCACTCAAGTGTGTGTGTGTGTGTGTGTGTGTGTGTGTGTGTGTGTGTGTGTGTGTGTGTGTGTGTGTGTGTGTGTGTGTGTGTGTGTGTTACAATGGCTCCACCATTCCTGTTTTCCCAGAGAAACAAAAGGTCCAATGAAAACATGTGTGAAGGAAACCTCATCCCAGTGGAGGAAGGGAATAGAAATGGAAAAGGTTAGAGTATTATGAATGTGATATATACATATACATATATATATATAAAAGTATGTGATGGAAAAAGTTGTGACTGTAAGTAAAAAGGGGGGAAAGTACCAAAGGAAAAGTCCGGGGAGCCGAGTGAAGACGTTGAGGCATCGAGAGGCGATCTGCTGCAGATGTGACCAGTCGGCAGATGTAGATGTAGATGTTTCTTTAGTTTACTGTTAATAATGTAGACAAAGTAGAGTTAAAAAGCTAAAACGTTCACACACCACCAGGAAGTTTTATTGGGTTTTTAATTAGGAAAAAGTAGCAGAATTGGTGGTTTCCAGAGCAGACGACCTTTTACGTTGGTTCAATTACTGATTAATGCAACGTGGTTCCAGCAGAGTGTGTTTACGTCATTTTGAGGTACTTTTACTTAACTTGAGTATTCTATGAAATGCTACTAAATCGTTTACTGCATTACTAAACTACTAATATACCAAATAGTACAAGTACAAGTTGGCTTTAAATAGAAGACCTGCAACATTAAAATGCACATATGCAATAGTGATTCATATTACACTTTATAACATTGAAACACCTTCACAGTTAAACAAAAGTGAAACCTGATTCAGTGGCTGAAACTAAGGCAGGAAGAAGAAAATCAGTGACTGATGCTGACGGTAAATACTAAACTTTATGAACGTTCATTATCTGTTTCCAGGGAAATGGAGTTCTTTAGTCGTTAGACAACAGTATTTACAGGTATGTGTGCGGCGTAGATGAGTGGATTCTGGTGTAGAAGAAGAGTCCGGATTTCATGTGTTTCTTTGTTAGTGTTTACGAGGGAGAAGGGGGGAGAGCTCGGACAGGACGGGGGGGACCACGGGGGGACACTTAAATGTCAACGAATGCACGCAATGTTGCTGTGGAAATAGTTCACTTTCATATTGTTATTACTGTAATAACGGCTCAGTAGCTTCTCTTTGAAAGAGGTCGGTGACCTCTGGAGACGCCTGTAGAGGGATGAAACATTCACTGTGCGAGAAATCAACCAGCAAATCCTGACAAAGTATAAAAATAGTCATCTCGTCTTTCTGCATGAGGGATCTAAATCGGTCTGATGGTCAAATCTTTGGGTCGAGTCGATTGATGGTGACAGGACCTAAAAAAAGTAAGAAACAATTGAAAACTACACTCACTTAAAAGCTGAACCTCCATTGTTCTCCCGTCTTATGGAGCTTTGTGTCGCTGATGAGAGGAAGTGGAAGTGTGAGGTGTGGTTGGACTTCCTGTGAGCTCACAGGCCTCTTACAGACCCGAGGTCCTCAACCTTCTGGAGCTGAAGACCAACTTCTGATTGTTTGTAAAGAAAACTGGTTTCACACGAATGAACGTCTATGGAGATGGAGAATGAACGGTGCTGTTAGCCGTGATTCAATCATCTATTTGAAATCATTCATCTTTTTTTTACAACATTTTATAAACTCCCTTTTTTATATGTGACTTTAAATTAAATATATATAAAGTAAACCTGAGATCAGGTCAATGAAAAGTCCTCCAGCTTTGTTCTTCTTCAGACACGATCAGACAAAGTGCTCTGCATGTACACAGGTACTAATACATGTACACAGGTACTAATGCATGTACACAGGTACTAATGCATGTACACAGGTACTAATACATGCACACAGGTGCTACAGTTTTTTCCGGTTGCTAAACGTCAGCGGGCACAGCTGGAGTCACATGTGCAAAACTGTGACTCCATCTGCACAGCAGCAGTTCATGAGGACCGAACTCTAGATCGCTTTTTATTGCTTGAACACAGTTTTAAAAACTATCCACACTGATCACATGACGTCTCCACAACCTGCACAACACTGTGGATTTACAGCACTTTGTTCAAATGCAACACACTGCTGTCAAAACTGAACCACACTTTCAACACGGAATGAGCCTTTAAAACACTGATGATTCTATTTCAGCTGAAAGGCTGAGCAGGTGTCTTGTTTAGACTATATATATATATATATATATATATATATATATATATATATATATATATATATAGGGTTAGGGTTAGGGGTCAGCTCTACATATATATATACTATAATATATTTATATATATACTGTAACATGTTACAGTATATATGTTACAGTATAACATGTTACAGTATATATATAAATATATTATAGTATATATATGTAGAGCTGAGAAAGACTTGTAAATGGAAGAAGGAAGACGGGTTGGTGGAGGGAGACAAAGAAGAGCTGTCGGAATAAGGCTTCACTTATGGACCATGTGGTGAACCACGTCTCTCACTCAGAGCGTTGAGGGTGGAACCCGATCTGCAAACATCCACAGTGGCAAGAATTGTTATGTTCTATAAATGTTAATAAATCATGTGAAAGAATCTCACTCTTTTCTTTGAAGAAAATCTTACTTTGTGTGACGTCACTGAAATGGTTCAAAGTGTAAAGATGAACAGTGAGTATTTTGTGTGCTGGTGTTTGTACTCTCAGTGTGTTGTGAGTGACAGTGTGTGTTGTGAGTGACAGTGTGTGTTCTCAGTGTTTGCTGCACTGAGCCTGTTTGTGTTAAGAGTTGTGTTGCTTGCAGTGAGTTGTGCAGGTGATGTGAGCGGTTGAGCTCAGGTGACTGTTGGTGCTGCAGACTGGAGTCAGAGGTTTGCACATGTGACTCGTGCCCACTGACGTTTAGCAATCGCAAAAAACTGTAGTACAGGTACCCAGGTACTAATACATGTACTTTTCATCACATTTTAAATCCTTGATTCAAGTGTGACACCTAAAGAGAAAGTAGTTCAGGGAATTTGTGGTTTCCTGTTGAAACACGATCAGCACCTGCTGTGTGTGCAGCTATGAACAGCTTATTTAGTCGTAGTACTTTACCCAAACTCAAAGGTGCAATATCCCTTATGAATCTGTTAGATGATTTCATAAAATCCCCTCTAGAATCCGTTCTAGTAATGATGAGCTTATTCTTCTAAACTGAAAAGAAAAGGGGAAGTTGTTTATTCTTTATATATCTTGGTATTCAAGAAAGATGCATAAACTGTAATTATATCACAAAGAAATAATCGCACTCAGGATCAACTTGTGTGTGCTTCTCGAATTTGCTTGAGTTCCTCCACGTGAGGAGGTGTAAAACCTTTGTCCGGCCTTATTGGCCTCCACGTTGCTCCCACACACCTTCTCACTGCCGTGACCTCGTTACTCCCATAAAACCTTCAATGCTTCAACACTTTATTTATTACGCTTATTCCAGCCGTTGTTGCTTTAAAGACTTCTTTTTCTTTCTTCAATGCATGTCTACAATTCTTCTATTTTAGACATTTTAAATTGAATTCAGTTCTTAGTAACTTATTGCTGACCTCTTGTTTATATAACAACTTTTATTCACTCTGAATAAACAGGTTGACCAAACGATTCTCTGATATCTCCTTGTTGTCTCGCTTGTAAACCTGTTGTTGGATCATTGACCCCAAACTGCTTTTCTGTGTGCGTGTCTCACCCTTATGCTGTTTTCATTAAGCCCATTTGTTAACATATCAATTTATTTAGATTTGTCAAAATAAGGACTTGTGTGAACCCCAAACCACACAAAATCATTAAACCATTCAAATAAAAGTATATTTGCTACGCCCACTCTGTTAATTCCTTTCTTGCACTGGACTTTTCTAACGTTCCGTGTTTAACGCTGTTGGGATCAATAATCACACAACTTTATAAGAATTTATTTTTTCTTTCCACAGAATCTCCCTTTAGCTGCTATCACGCATGTGCATGTGCTTGTGCATGTGCATGTGCTGTTCCCTTGTCTCCTCACAATGAGCTTGCTGTTGAGCTGCAGGCCCGTTGGTTGAGAATCGGTCTCTCCTGCAGACATTCCTCTTTCCTGCATCTGTACAACCTACTGCACACATTGTTTGTTGCATGTTTCCTTTATTCAAGGTGTTGTTTTTTTCTAACCCTAACCCTCTTAAACGGGGTGAAACCCGGATTCCCCTCTTTGCATCCATCCCACATCGTTATGGTTTCCTCGGTTTTCCCCACATTTTCACAGGTTATTTTGTTTGTTCACACGTGGCTTTAGAACATAAGAGAAAGGACGCAATGCCCAATACTGTGAACTCAACCGAGGAGCTTTTACTGTATTAGAGGAATACGCCGCTCGATTGTTGAGGCTTATATCACCAGTTCCCTTGTATTGTTTTATATTGTATATGTCCTCTCGCCACAACATGAGATCAAATCAATGTGTGGTCGTGTAACATATGTGAACATAAGGAACAAAGCGTGAGTGTTTTATGGTGCTTGGTGTGTCTGTAAATCTCATTCTTATCAGATCTGGTCTGCCTGGTTGACACTTTCTGCTTTTCCTCTGACCTTGACCTCCTCAAGACAGTGACTCCCTACATGAGCAGTGGGAAAACCTTTGTGTACATGTACACATGTGTACATGTACAATACATGTATACAGGTACTAATACATGTACACAGGTACTAATACATGTATACAGGTACTAATACATGTAAAATGGTACTAATACATGTATACAGGTACTAATACATGTAAAATGGTACTAATACATGTATACAGGTACTAATACATGTACACAGGTACTAATACATGTATACAGGTACTAATACATGTAAAATGGTACTAATACATGTATACAGGTACTAATACATGTAAAATGGTACTAATACATGTATACAGGTACTAACACATGTACTAATAGATGTACTAATACATGTACACAGGTACTAACATGTACTAATACATGTACACATGTACTAATACATGTACACAGGTACTAATACATGTACACAGGTACTAATACAGGTATACAGGTAAATGTACTAATACATGTACATAGGTACTAATACATGTACACAGGTACTAATACAGGTATACAGGTAAATGTACTAATACACGTACACAGGTACTAACACATGTACACAGGTACTAATACATGTACTAATACATGTACACAGGTACTAATACATGTACAGAGGTACTAATACAGGTATACAGGTAAATGTACTAATACATGTACACAGGTACTAATACATGTACTAATACATGTACACAGGTACTAATACATGTATACAGGTAATAACACATGTACACAGGTACTAATACTGTGTACATGTGTTTGCCCCCCGAATCTGCCCCCCGCACTTTCAGTCCGGGGGGCAGATTCGGTTAGCTCTTTTAAAGTAAAACTTAAAACGTTCCTCTTTGATTCTGCCTATAGTTAGGGCTGGCTCAGGTTAGTCCGGACCAGCCCTTAGTTAAGCTGCTATAGGCTTAGAATGCCGGGGGAATTCTTAGGACACACCGAGCTCCTCTCTCACGCTCTCTTTCTACCATAATTCAAGTTTTATTAATGCACATGACTAATTCAGCTTCTTTCCGGGAGTTTTTTTTTGTGCTTTCGCCCCTATCAGGTCTCCATAGATCGTGGTTCCTTCTGGACCCTGGTCCGGACACCTACTGTGGCCATGCTGACGCCTGCTGCTGCCATCATCATCATCATCATCATTATTTTAGATATTAATCATATTACTTTACTCATAAACCGACATTACCCTCTCCTAAAATCTCTGTGCTCTCCCTCCCCACAGGATTCTGTGGATGGTGGTTCTATCTGATGGTGGTTGCCTCTGCAGTGGTCCTGCTGTGCGCCTGGCTTACTACTCACAATTACTTGAATCATTTCTGTCATAGGAATTGCATGTATTATACATCGTTCATTCTGTACACATGGCATCCATTGTAGTCTGTCCATCCCGGGAGTGGGATCCCTCCTCTGACGTTCTCCCTAAGGTTTCTTCCCTTTTTTCCCTCTTGTAAGGGTTTTTTCATTTTTTGGGGAGTTTTTCCTGTGCCGATGGTGGGTTTCGGGGCAGAGGATGTCGTATGTGTACAGACTGTAAAGCCCTCTGAGGCAAATTTGTAATTTGCGATTCTGGGCTATACAAAATAAAATGACTTGACTTGACTTAATACATGTACACAGGTACTAATACAGGTATACAGGTACAAATACATGTATACAGGTAATAACACATGTACACGGGTACTAATACAGGTATATAGGTACTAATACAGGTATACAGGTACAAATACAAGCACAAATACAGGTATAAATACGGCTATTTCCATGGACCATCTTCTTAACCGCTTGTAAGAAAAGGACGTAAACGCCACGACGTCACTGATTGCTTCGTGGACTCGGTTTTGCAAACAGTGAACAGGAAGTTGACCCTATGAGGACTGAAGAGGACGTGGGGGACACTGTACACGTCTCATGAGCCTTTGCCAGCGTTGTTGGAGGTGAACAAGGGACAAAGAATCAGATTTACAACTTCTGAATGTGTATTTTTACAAAGATTAATCTTTCACTTCAGGTTGAGGGAGGTTCAAACCGAACATCAAGGTGTACAGTTCTGATCTGATGCATCCTGGGAGTTGTAGTTCTCTCAGCGTTCCAGCTCGAATGGAGTTACTCAATAGCTTCTCCCCACACCTCAGAGGATCACGCGGATGTTTTTACTGCATCATCCGCTGCAGTTACTTCATGATTTTGTTAATCCGGTTTAACCGGTTATCCGGTTTCATGTTTATTCCAGACAAAAGCTCAGTGTCAGTGGATCAAACTATTCAATCATTTTTATTCGCGGGTCTGTTTTACTGCTTATTTTATTTGTGCTTTAATATAATATTGTTTTAGCAATGTTTGATTCACTCTTTATTTCAGTTTGTGTTTTATTTTTTTATTCTAAATAATTAATTAAATAAAAAATTAAAAAACGAACAATGATCTCATTATGGGTAAAAATGAAGGTGGAAAAGTGAGTCGTCGTTTAAACCACCCGCACCTCAGTGACCAAATCACCAAATCACCGGCGCCCTCTGGAGGACGCTAAAGAGCACACAACCCGCCGTGATAAAATAAACTTTATTAATATCAAACATTCAGTCACAGGCTGCTCCGTTCCTTCTTTAGGACTCTTATTTATTCCCTCCGCATGAACAGCTTCATGGAGCTCAGGCTGGACGGGTCCCTGGTTTCGAGGGTCCGGGGTCAGAGGTCAGGTGAGGGAGGGTTTGGGTTGGTACTTGACTCTGTCGAAGTCGTCGACCGTGGTTTCCACCGGGGGGGGCGTCCAGTACTCCTCCAGGCCGAGCGCCAGGCAGAGCGCCACGGCCGCCATCTGCAACGGCACGCCATGTCCGACTGATTGAACATTGACCAACTAACTCATGAACATTCTAGAGAGTCGAAATAACTCATTTATCTTTTCAAGTAACTCATAAACTGAACATTGAACTCCGAGGCTTCTGAAATGTTAAATAAACGTTCCTATGAAACGTGTCTTCTAAAATATCTAGAAACTCTGGCACAAAAAAAAGAATTTCAAACAGTGAATGTTTATATTTCTATATTAAGTTCTAAAGTGACTTAAAGACGGAATAGAAGGAACTCGTGTGGCCTTTTACCGCGATGGTGGTGAAGGCCGAGATGATTCCTATCCTCAGTTTGATGGGGAAGCTCAGGTAGCTCTTCAGGATGGGGCCGCAGGGCTGCGGGTCAAAGGTCAACATTAACATATTTAAAAGCAACGAAAAACACAAAACAAAGAGAAACACCTGGAGGGAAAGGTGGGGAAGGTCACAGCAAGAAAGTGAAGAAGATGGTGATGAAGACATGTTGAGTTACCTCGGAGTGAACCCACAGCCGGTCGGAGACCTGAGAGGTGGGAGGGTAAAGGTCACTGCCCACCAGCACACAGGAACCCCCCGAGCTCACGTTACCGGACTGAGAGCTGAGAGACAAAGAGTGAGAGAACAAATAACCGTTTGGCCATATATTTGTAGCAAAAGGAAAAATTACTCAACTTCCTGTTCACTGTTTGCAAAACCGAGTCCACGAAGTTTACGTCCATTTCTTACAAACAGTTAAGAAGATGACCCATGGAAATAGCCGTATTTATAGCTGTATTTGTGCTTGTATTTCTACCTGTATACCTCTATTAGTACCTACATACCTGTATTAGTACCTGTATACCTGTATTAGTACCTATATACCTGTATTAGTACCTATATACCTGTATTAGTACCTATATACCTGTATCAGTACCTGTGTACCTGTATTAGTACCTGTATACCTGTATCAGTACCTGTATACCTGTATCAGTACCTGTATACCTGTATTAGTACCTGTATACCTGTATCAGTACCTGTATACCTGTATTAGTACCTATATACCTGTATCAGTACCTGTATACCTGTATTAGTACCTGTATACCTGTATTAGTACCTATATACCTGTATTAGTACCTGTATACCTGTATTAGTACCTGTATACCTGTATCAGTACCTGTATACCTGTATTAGTACCTGTATACCTGTATCAGTACCTGTATACCTGTATTAGTACCTATATACCTGTATCAGTACCTGTATACCTGTATTAGTACCTGTATACCTGTATCAGTACCTGTATACCTGTATTAGTACCTGTATACCTGTATTAGTACCTGTATACCTGTATTAGTACCTGTATACCTGTATCAGTACCTGTATACCTGTATTAGTACCTGTATACCTGTATTAGTACCTATATACCTGTATTAGTACCTATATACCTGTATTAGTACCTGTATACCTGTATTAGTACCTGTATACGGGGCTCAAGTGTCACGCATTGAGCGAGACAGGGACGGCGAAAGGCTTCGGATTAAGAAGGTTAAAAGACAGACAGTCCGTCTGTCCAATCAGAAGGGTCCGTCCTCTGCTAAAAGGCCCTCCCCTTTGGAGTTAATGTCGTTGTGTTTTCCTGTTTCCAATGTGACTTAAAGTCATTGAATGGTGTTTATTGGTGATTATCTTTCTGGATGAAACGTTTGTCAGAGAACTGAAGTCTGAATCCCTCTCAGCTCTTTTGAGGACGTCTCGTGTCTCCGTCTCACCTCGGCTGCCGGTTGGAGACGGCGGGTTTGCAAAAACAAGAGACAGGAAGTTGATTCTCCCAATCCTCAAAACTCCTCAAGCCACAGCAGGAGTCCTGAGGAGCACAAGTCACGTCAGGAACCTTTAGTCAGGTTCAATTAAAAACTCAAACCGCCGCATCCATCACAACTAAATCCTGAAAGGCGTCATTGTATTTCACAGGGATATAATGTAAAGTTAATATATTACTTGTTCTTTGCTGGTGGTGTTTCTGTGAGGGAGATGAGGAGCATTTACAATGTTGTTTTTAAGAGTTTATCTCTTAGAAATATTTAAAGAAAACTGTGAATCTCTTTAAATATTTACCTGAGCTAACAGGCTACGCTAACGCCCCCATGGGGGGCGGGGTCAAAACCATGCGTTACCACGGTGACAAGCATCCCTCTTTCTCTACGTTGTGATCTTTCCATGTGACTCTTGTTGTTCTCTTACGGAGGCCTGCAGCTTGCTCAGTTCGCTCTGGATGTAGCGCTCCGCTCGGTGGAGGGGCGTCACGTTCAGGAACACCTCGTCCACCGCGCCGTCCATCTGCACGCAACAACAACAACAACAACATCAACAACAAGTAGTTAAGTTAATATTCTCTAAAAGCTGCTGTCATAAATCTAAAAAGGGCTTCAAAGGAAGTTGCAGAAATGCCCAAACTGTCCTCCAGGGGGCAGCAGTGTCTCCCACGGGCTGCACAACAAAGGTGGAGTTACCACAAGGGACGCTGACGGGTGGAGTTAGCAGGAGGGACGCTGACGGGTGGAGTTACCTGGGCTTGGACCTGAACCAGCGGGGAGGCGACGACCATCAGAGCCACGAACTCCACGAATATCAGCCCAGAAAACTGGAGGAGACATGACAGGTCAGCTCCGCCCTCTTGTGTGTGTGTGCGGGTGTGTGTGTGTGTGTGTGTGTGTGTGTGTGTGTGTGCGTGTCTCACCAGCAGCAGCAGAGGCTTGTGGTGCAGTGACGTAGCACAGACACCCAGAACGGACAGAACCACGGTGACCAGGCCGAACACCTTCAGCACCATCAGGCCGCCGCTGGTGGAGAGCTGCTCGAACAGCTGGAGAGGAAATCAATGTTTAATCAATCAAGCAATTGGATGCTGAATACTGAAATGCACCCTGGGAGTCGTAGTTGCCAAACGCTCAAAGTACTGATGTATTCTACATTCACATTCTTCAATACTTTATTTACGTTTTGTGGATTTTTAACGGACAGCTACAAAATAAATCCACGTTTTTCATTTTAGATCATTAAATGTACACACCTCAAAAATTCTTATTTTATGATTTCTTCATAGTTTTAGATGCATATTTAAAATATCCTTTTTATTCAATTCAGGTAATTGTTTAATTCCTTCTCCAGTGAGGAGATTATCCAATTATGTTGCTCAGACAAACAGACCAGCAGGCGGCACACGGCACTAAAACCCTTAATTGCATTTGCTGAAGTCACGCACACACACACACACACACACACACACACACACACACACACACACGGTTACCTCGGCAACCGGTGTGTTGCCCTCGATGGAGGAAAACCCGACGCCGATCATCACCACGCCGGACACCTGCAGGGAGGTAACGGAGATTAAACTGAGTGTTAGTTGGAGGAGGAGGGGAGGGGGGGAGGAAGAGGAGGGGAGGGGGGGGAGTCTGAAGCAACATTCCTGGGAAACTGTTGTTTCCCCCGGAGACGCTCATCAGACTCTCGTCACTTTAAAGTTTGAAATAAACCTCCGTCTGTTTTCCTCAGTTTAAGGTTTCCAGAATAAATCTTCTCACACGGACTCGTTTGTTTTCAACGAGACTCCAGCTGGACTTTGTGCTTTAGTTTCAAGTTATTTATTAAAATAGATCATAGATGTAAGAGTTAAAGTAGAAAGTGGAAGGTTGAATTCTAAATGCAACAGTGAATATAAATATGATCCGATTTTAAAGCATCAAAGCAAAAATTGAAGGTAATAAACTATTAAAATGTCCCTGGACCTGTGAACACATACGTTATACAATAATGAAAACTATTATTATTATATTAATATGGTAAAATAGAGCCTTTAACACAAACAAGCAGGTATTTTCCTACAATAAGTTATAAATGTTGGTGTAATCAGTTGATAAACACAAGAGTCAAAAGAGGAAAACAGCAATAAATGGAATATTGTCAGAATTGGTTTGTTACTGCGATTGAAAATAATAGAATTCGTTTTACTCCAATGTTTTGTCACAAATATTTAATTATTATTGTAAGAAAGAAAGACGAGTGCACAGAGGAAAGGAAATAAACAAGAAGCAAACGTGTCATCGGCATCACGTCATCATAAATGGCCCCACAAACGATCCCTGAGGGACATCGCAACTATTTACACAATGAAACTAACACAACTGCTTCAGAGAGACTACGTCATTAAACTGGATCAACATCTCGCTTGTTGTTGTTGTTGTTTAAACGTCTTTGATAGAGCGAGTTAAATGCTGGAGCTCGATAACATCATATTTGTTTTTGGGAAGTAAAATATTATTTTTGCTCCGTGGTTGCAGATCCTCAGTTCCTCAACGTCACACATTCAGGCCTCTAAAAGAGGCAGTAAAAATAATACGAGACGTCCTGCATCCAAACACTATGAACACTATTAATCCAAAGCAACACAAAGCAAAATAATGAGCAGGAAGAAGAACTTAATTTAGAGCTGGTGGTCCTCACAAGCACACACGAGCTGCCTGCAGGTAGCCGTTAGCTCACCAGTAGCAGCACAGTGACACAGATGGCGAGTCCTCGTAAGTAACTCCTGCAGCGAGCCATGACCTTCTCCTGAGAGGGTCCAGATACACTGCACACACAGTGGAGACCCGAGGGGGGGGCAGATGTTTAAAGCTCTGCTGCAGAACGAAGAACATGACCAAGTTTGGAAGATCAGCTGGAGAGAGAGAGAGAGAGAGAGAGGGAGAGGGGAGTTGTGGAGGAGGTGAGGAAGCAGGAGAGGAGGTAAGGGGGCAGAATAAAGGAAAGGAGGGGAGGAATTGGGTGAGGAGAGGAGAGGTCAGTTATATCTCATTTAAGGGAGGATTCATTGAGAGCTGGATATGAAGAGAAGGAAAAACAGGCAGAAGGGAGAAGAAAGTGAAAGTGATGAAGATGAAAGAAGGAACAAGTGCAACTGAGGAGAGAAGAACATAGAGAACGTTTCATTAATAATAACTATTGACAAGGCTGCGATCAGCATCACGTGACCTTTAATGTGGAACATCTGACATGCAGGAGCTGCTGTTGCTCCACTCTAGAAGGATGATGTAGCGCAGCGACGTCGTGTTGTCACAGTGTTGTTTATATTTTATTCAACGGAAAAGTTCTGTTAGATGAAATAAAGAACAGGAAGGAATTCAGTGGAGTCATTAAGCTGTGAGCGGTGTTGACTTTAGACTAAAAATAACTAAAAGGGACGGACTCTGCGCGCGCGCGCGCGCGCGTGTGTGTGTGCGTGTGCGCGCTTCTCAGCAGACTCTCGGCCTGTTTCCATGACGTATAAATATCCTTACATAGTGATGGTGATGATGATGATGATAAACAGCGGGGGACACTTCAGCTGCCGCGGTCACGCGCGATGGAACATCTTCATCCATCACTCACGCCCGACGTGCGCACCGACGCGCACGTGCACTGTCCGGACGGCCGGTGCGTGTTTTTCCGTCGTGTAGTTCACGCGCCGCCTGCAGGGGGCGCGGCCGGGACTTCAGGACATGACGTCATTGTTTGCTCTGACTTTCTCGTCGCCGGTTTAGAACCACGTGATGTGACTGGAGCGGTTTTGAGTCTGTGTGTTAAAATGAAGCCATCATTTGGGACGTGGATTAAAAGGTCTTTGTCTTACAAGTAAATGATGACAAACCGCCGGCGGTCAAATGGAAACTGGACGTCTTATTAGAAACACCGTAATGTTTAAGTAGAGAAATAACACAGCAGGTTTCCAGAGGTATTACAGTTTTTATTTCAGTGTCAGAGAAAAGGCACTAAACCAAACCGGGAGAGTGACGCTGAATAAGAAAGAGATGCAGAGGAGTCATCTTTAAATGAACAGATTATAATATATATTATAAATACAGCAGGCTGGGAGACACCGGGGGACATTTAGTCAAAAGGACTCCACTGCATTCTGCCCTCACGTAGGGACGTTTGATTATTAACTCCTGCAACGACAAAATAACCGCTGGGACCTCTCAAAGAAAAGAGAAATTACGATGTTGTCTGAGAAGGTTCAGGATGTGACGGTGAAGACCTCCAGCGCCACAGAGCGGTCATGTGACCCGCTGCACAGGCGGGTTGGAGATGTGACGATTGTCTTTCATCAACTGCTACAACTTGAATTAAACCAAAGCTTATACACGGTTTCACAATGATTGGATCGTAGTGCGTTAAATGTTCTTCTTCCTCCTGTTAGCGGTGCTGTAAACAGAGCAACAAACCGAGGACACAAGACTGCAGATTCATTCATTGTCAGTTGAATTGGCTACAGAAATAAAATTGAATTTATGGGTCGAAATCCATATAGTCGATATTTAAAGTCGTACTTGAATAACAATACAATTCTTCTCAAAAAGTCATAATTCTTTTAAAACTATTAAAAAACAACAGTTATGAGGATAACCTCATATTAATAATTAGACTAAATACCAGTTTATCAGAACTTTCTCCCCAAAATATTAACTTCTTATATATTCTATTTTTGTGATTGACCGTCTGAACTCTCCTCTCTGACTCCATCTTGTGTCCAGGGTTTGTCTTCATTTGTAGTTGACGATTTACTTGGTTGTTTGTTTTCAGAGGCACAGAAACAAAAGCTCCTCAGACGTGTTTTAAACGTGTAACTTCCTTCATATATCGGAGTGTTACATGTACATAAAGAAAATATCATATTTTGCATTTAAACCCACCAGAACTTCAGATCAGTAAAAACGACCAGCTTTTCTTTCTCACGCAAACAAATGGGGGGAGGCGGGTCGGGCGGGTCGGGCGGGGGTCGTGGGGGGGTCGTGGGGGGGTCGGCGGTCCGCCGGTCACAGCTGGTCTTTGTAGTAGCCGAACTTGGCGCAGGACATTTCACGGCGGAGCTGCATCACCTCCCAGAACATCTGCTCCGCTGCAAACACAGCAGGTCACATGGTCAGTTCATCCATTCATATCCTCTGGTACGTCAGCGGCGAACCGCATGACGAGAGGTGTGTGTGTGTGTGTGTGTGTCTCACCGTCCTGCTGTTTGACCAGCCCTTGGTAGATGTAGCGAATGTAGGTGAAGAAGTTACAAACGGTTGTGATCTAAAAAGAACAATTCACACAATGTGATGAAACACACTCAAACTGTTTATTTACATGGAGACATGCGTGTCTAAATATGTGACATCAGACTAAAAGACATAAGACGAGCCGTGTATTTATATTCAATTTAATGTGGCTTTATTGATCAGTATAAATATAATAATATGGTTAAATAGTTATGAGGACATTTTTAGAGTTGTCATTGCACTCTTTACATTTCAGGAGGATTATTATCTTGGTTCTGTTGACAGAGGCGGAGCCTGTGTTGCCGTGGTTACTCACTTTATATCTACAATAGGGAGACACGTAGTAATAGTTGGACGAGTCCCCGAACTTGATTCTGTGCTTACAGGTTTTGGTCTGACCGCTCAGGGCACATTTTCTACCAGAGAGACAGAGAGACAGAGACAGAGAGACATCAGGTTATCTGTGGGTTCAAACTGGTAGAACAGAATGAGGACCAGGAGAGCGGGGAGGCCGTTATGGAAGGTTTGTCTCTTTGATAAACCCGGACAGAAGGATATTCATGAGGGGGCGGAGCCTCAGGGGAGACATTGAGAGATGCTGATGGGAGAGAGAAACTCACGTCACGAGCTCGTCCTTTCGCCCACTAGAGGAGGAAAGTGAGATGAAAGAAGATGGAGATGAAAGAGTGACAGCTTGATGAAGAGGAGAAAGAGCTTGTTTTTATGTGTGTGTGTGTGTGTGTGTGTGTTCTCACTTTGGTCCTCCACACTCCACCGCCGAGGCTTTGACCACCGGCAGCGGCTGGAAGCCGACCGGCTCCACGCTGAGCGTGTTCTGCTCCACGGCGTCCAAGATGGCCGACCCGAGCTGAGTGACATCACAAGACCAGAGCTTTATTAAAGGACTTCAATTTAGGTCTATTTGCCATTTAAAATGGAAATAAGCATTTAATTTTCTTAATCTGTTTGTTGTTGCATGCTACGATTAACAGTAATACTTTATTCCAGTTTCTATACATGAAATATTGCAGTAAATGAATTGGTCAGATTGTGACTTAATCTTTCGCATTGATTAAAATCTTGAGATTCAATACTGTGGGAGCTATTATTTAGTTATTTATTTTAGAATATAGTTTGCTTAATTGTATCACTAATTGGTTACTTAGGGGCATAGTCAGGTGGGACCAGCATGCACCTGGGTGACCAATAGTCTTTACCAGTGAGACGGAGCAACAGAGCCCTGCATAGGACGGCAGACAAGTTGTATCGTATGTGTTGGGAATTTTGTGCAATAAAAGCGAAACAAAGGAAAAGAAAAGAATAACTTGGTGCAGCAGTTTCCCTTTGAGACGTACAGATTGGTTAGTAAAAGGACAAATGGCCACTACAAATACCATCGAAGGACTATTTAGTCTTCCATCCAACGACTTGTATATTATATAAAAAAGTATCTCACAATAAAAAGGGGAAAAGTGGGGCTCAAACTGCTCAGGATTACATGAACATGACTTTGCTTTGATTGGTACGTCCGTGCTGCGTGAAGCGAGGTCTTTGCGTACCTCGCCCTTGTTGAAGGTGAGGCAGGGGTAGATGTCCTCGCGGTAAACCCTCTCCAGGAAGCAGCAGCTCCGGTCCAGCGTCGGCTCCTCCCTCCACGCCTTGAAGTCGCTGAACAGCTGACCGTCCACCTGCGCCACACAGGTGAGGGGGCAGAGGTCAGGCGACGCAGACTGAACGCGCTCAGAGATTTCCATCTCTCCGACGGTCCTTGAAGACGTCGCCCCTCGGGGATACCTCTCTACACTCGCGTACGATGGGCTGCGTGGCCGCCGGGTCGGGCTGCGTGCCCATCATGGCGGAGGAGGTGCTCTTGTTCCTGCTGTGGCCCTTCCTGAAGGCCGTCTTCGCCCCGCTCCCTGCAGAGGGGAGTTCGCCCAGCGGGGAGGTGGGGGAGGAGAGCACCAGGGTCTTCAGGGCCTGGACCTCCGCCTGGAGGACGTCGATCTGGAGCGCGGGAGGAAGGCGGTGTGACGGGTGGAAACAAGCTAAAGGTTCACTCATGTCGGAACGTGTGAATCATCTCGTTACTCCTCGGTGGCGAGATGGTTCCACGGGGGCGAGTGACATGAAGACACGACGTGAGGGGTCACCGGTTAGAGACAGAGGTTCAAAGGTCAAGCTAAACTTGTTATTCAACATCACTTCGCAGGCTTTAGTTGGTGAAACTAAACTGTGTTATATTGGTATATTCTGTTGTGTGTCACCTTTCCCAGCGCTTCTTTCAGTTGTTTCTCAGCGTTGGCCTGTTTGACGTTTGCTTCTCGGACCATTTTGTGCGCCTCCTGAAAGAAACACGCAAATGATTTGATGTTTTGGGATATTTTCTTCACTGTGGTGGGATTTAATTTTCATTGTGAGAGCGAAGCAGCATCAACACGAGGTTCAGGGCTTTTAAAGGAGGACATGAAAGTAAAGTAAGAAAGTAAATGAACTGTTGAACACACACACACACACACACACACACACACACACACACACAGTCTCAGAACCTTCCAAGAGAAGGAGGAGGAGGAGGAGGAGGAAAGTAAAGAACACGTGGTGAAGGACAGCCAGACAGATTCTTCATGAGCAGCACAGAAACCTTCCTCTGGTCGCTTATTGATCGACCTGATTGATCTATGAATCGTTTGGTTTCTACGCCAGAAAAAAGTAAAAAATAAAAAGTAATCTCAAACTGAGGCAATCAAATATCAACAGTTGAAAAGCAAAATACTATTAAATTTACTGTGATTTAAGAAGCAAACTCTCCCATCTGCTCTTAGAACCCGGATCAGTTATCGGAATAAAAGCCCAATTAAATTCATGCAAATAAATATCTCTGAAGCTCGTTGGATTTCGAGGTTTTGTGAAGATGCTAAATACATTGTTTGAATCATCGGCAACGAGCTGCTAACGTGCTAGCTGCTAACGTGCTAGCTGCATCTTGTGAAGTTTCCGCCACATGTTGCTCCCCATTGACTCTGCTGCCGAAGAAAAGAGAGCAAAGACGTTCTTCATAGAGTTTAGGCCTCAGGAGGAAGGGAACAGGAAGCAGGAGACAGGAAGCGGAGGAGACGGAGCGACGGACGGAGGAGGAGAGGGCGAACCGACCTGGAAGAGACTGGCGGTGAGCTCCTCCAGCTCCTGGCCGAGCTGGTCTCTGACTTTAGACAATCTCTCACACTCCTCATCCTTCAACAGCAGATCCTTGCACACGCACACGCACACAAACACAACACAACACAAAACAGGAAAAACAACCGCCGAATGAAAAACACGTTACGGTGAAATCATATCAACAAAGAAAGGGATGAAGAACATAAAATTTGGGAAATATGTTTGACGAGCGGTTTCCTTTTTAAACAATAAAAACACGAAACAAAAATGAATCCTAAAATAACGAAGTGTTACGTGATGTCAATGTAAACAATGAGAGCGAGGAGATGACGTGAAGTCGTACAAACACACATTTTAAATGACAGGGACGCTGCCATGGTGACGTGAGGCGGCAACGTGCTGTAACATTCACATTTGCACCATTTAAAGCCCTCACAGACGCTCACACTCAACCGTGCACCAGGTGGTGAGTTAACCCGCCTCAGGGTCAGGGGTCAGAGGTCAGGGGGGGGGGCATTGGGCCTGTGTGCGTCCTACCCTCTGGGCCTTGGCCAGCTCCTCCTTCAGCCTCTCGTTTCCTTTCTCTCGGATCTCCATCACCGACGGGCTGCGAAGCTGCGCCAGGCTCTCGCTCAGAGCGCCGCACTCCTCCGCGCCCTCCGCACACAGGAAGCCGCCCTCGGCAGGCTCCGCCTCCTGGCCGGGCACACTGGCAGAACGTTTGGGGGGGAAAAGTGTGAGCCGAGGTGAGGCTGACAACTTCACAAATAAAACGTTTGTGTTAATCGACAGACAACGGACTGTTTTTTATTCGACTATTAACACTCGTGGTTCTCTTTACCTTCCATTGTGGCTCTGCCGCGGTGTGGAGTACACCGGCTGCGTGGGGAGCTGGTCGGCCCGCAGGGAGGTGGGGCGTCCGGCGGGGGGGGCTCCCAGGGAGTGGGTGCGGTACAGAGAGGCGGGCGGGGCGCTGTGACGGGCGGGGGGGCGCTGCTCCGCTTGGTTCTGGACGAACGACGTGGGAAGAAGAGGAAGAGCGGTCGTCTTCAGGTTGAAGGGAGAGATCGGTCACACCCGCAAACGCCCGAGAACAAAGCTCCGCCTACCTGGAGGTCGGGGGTCGTGGGCGAGGCCAAGTTCACCTCATGGAAGCCCTCCAGGTTTTCTGCATTGCTCTGACCACCGCTGCAGGCCATAGCAGCTGCTCTCAGACATCATCCACTCTGCAGGCATCACACACACACACACACACACACACACACACACACACACACACACACACACACGCACACGCACCTGTTAGCGATGTTACAAAGTGTCGTGGGTGGGCGTAAAAGGTGGAGGTGTGCGTCGTACCATCGTGCAGCAGTGGGTGGACTGACGGAGGCTCTCAGACAGTCAGACAGGAACGAGAGGAACAGGAAGAACATCGGGTGAACGAGGGACTTGGCAACAGGTAAAGACACCTGAGACAGAGGGGGGAGGGGGGACTTTAGTTTGGTATTTGTGACTTCGTGGCGTGACGATCCGATAGCGGCCCCTCTGAAGTGAGTCCTCGTGGGCATCAGCTTTATAGCCCCATGGACTGTGGCTTCGCCTTCTGGGTCAAAGTCCAACAGAAGGGAGGTTCACCTGCAGCAAGCGAGTGAAGACGAGTCCTCAACAAAGCACCTGGGACATCAGGTGGAGTAACCGCAGGGACACCTTGTTTCTGCCCGTCCTACCTTTTGTTTTGCCCTCCTCAGCAGCTGTTTTGACCACACACCGGTCTCACCTGCTCCGCGTCGCGTGTTACTGCGTGTGTGTGTGTGTGTGTGTTAAGTGGGTGTGTAACACTGAGTACATATATACAAAAGACTAAATTCAGCAAATGCCTCCAGAAGACAAATAAAGCAGTTGTGACTCACAAAAACGTCAGAGTTTATTTAAAGATCCAGCTGGAGAACAAGATCTTTGTTTTTGTTTTTTACATCAGTTTCATTATGTCAAAGACACTCCTTCTTCCGTCAGACATTCCTAATAACTTGATTGCTTGGGATGATTCATTCTTTACAATAATTAATGGTTGGCATCATTGTTTTGGTTTCTCTGTTGTGTGATAAAATGCAGCTGATGGACTGCTGATGCATTCAAGGGCAATCGGACAACAAAGCTGAACAAAAACATCCTCTTATGCAAATTTCCTAACAAAATGTTGTAATTGGTCAAATTTCCACTTGCAAATTCAGTTAAAAAGGTACAATCCACATAGACATACAGATATATCATATAGTGATATGTGTATATGTATATATATATATATATAGGGTCGACGGGTGGGGGGGTGGACGCTACGGCCCCGCTGAGCGGAGCGTGCCGGCACTCAGACATTCTCTCGGAGCGTTTCGCATAACAAACGGTTTCAAGGAAACATATTTGACATATTTTCTGCTGTATATTGGGGGGGACACGACCGCCCCAAAGGATGCGTGGTTACGCCCTCGTATCAGTGTGAGAAAAAAGTTTCACTTTGCTGATTCTGATCAATTTCAATCACATCGCAGTATTACGTTTATAAATAAGCAACAAACACAAACAACGCGCTGTTGGAGCATGCAGGCAGACAGACACACACGCAGACAGACACGCAGACAGACACAGATGGCATCGCAGGTGAAACCCCACCTGCCTCAAACCAACCAACCCCCGTTTTGCCCCCCTCTGCCCGTTTCCATGGAGACCAGTGCAGAGAACACTTGGTAACCCGACCCAGGGAGGGATGCTGGGTAATGGATCCAGTAACTCCGGCCTCCTGGAAACGGCTCATTTAGGCTCATATATATAATCCCTGACCAAGATGTTCTACCTCCGTTTTGTATCAATTCATTTATATCATATTCTGTATATTCGACCTCTGCGAAGCAGCACTGTTGCGTTGTTGAAGTGTGAGTGTGTTTTTCTGTGTGTGTGTGTGTGTGTGTGTGTGTGTGTGTGTGTGTGTGTGTGTGTGTGTGTGTGTGTGTTGAACGATGGGAGCAGTAGGAGGAGGAGAGAACATCCATTGTTCCACTGATTGTTTTCAATACTGAAGAAATAAAGATCGCTTATAAAAACAAAGCAAGTCTAAATGTTTTACTTTGGCTAAAGACGTTCCAGCAGCAGCGGACGGGAACGGATGGTGGGGTCACGTGACGCCAGCAGGAGGAAGATGGCTGTCGCGGCATCAGTGCGCGAGCCTCTCGTTGAAGCGCCCGTGTGACGGAGAGGGAGGCGGGCTGCGTTGGAACGCACCTGTTCCAGGTGGCGCAGACGGCTAGCACCGGGCTAATGTTGGGCTAGCTGCTGTCTATTCAGTATTAGCAGGCGGGCTAACAAGCTACTTGAACACGGGACGGGGCGGGGGGGGCTAACGGTAAAACGGTGCGTTAGCATCGGATTAGCTGGCTAATGCTATCGGACTCACTTAGAGTACATTCATTGTTGCAGGTGTGGTATTTGTGCCGAAGGGTCGGGATGAACTAACCCGAATTGGAATGTGTCCAACGGGTGTTTTACCACGACGCATTTGTCTTTTTCAAGTGTTAAAATGCATCTGTCTATTTCACTCACAATGAGAGGGGAAGCCCCACTTCCATTATCGGCCAACGGCTCTAACCCTGGACACGGCTAGCTAATTCCACTAATATGACTCGGAAAAAAAGGATGTATTGTTAATAACTCTGGTTTTAGTAACATAAGATATGGAAAAAACGCTGCTTTTTAGTGTAGATTGTCGATTGGTTGTGAGAAAACGGAATAAATAGAGCGCCCGACAGCTCTCTGTCCGATGATGGGCGCATTTAGCTGACGCTAAATGGACCATTTGCATTACGGCAAGCTAGCTGACCCATAGCTTAGCAAAGAGTAACAACAACCCCGACGTTAATAACACCTTCGGACAGACTCACCGGACCTCTGTGAACACAGCAGCCGGGTCTTGCTCCCGGTAACGTGTAGAACAAACAAACAACCGGACACACCGGAGCGGTTGTTGACGCAGACCGGAGCAGGTTACTCCAAATGCCTGGAGGTGCGTTCAGGTACAATTGGGAAACAAGAGTGCCGTTTTCGCCTTATTCTTATGTCGTTCGATATGGGCAAAGAACCACAATGAAAACGTATGATAAATAAATGGAATATATACCCAATACAGTACATCAATGAGCCTTTCGTCGTACAATAAAACTGTCTTTTGTATTATATATATATATATATATATATATATATATATATATATATATATATATATATATTTATTTATTTTTAATTATTTTTTTATTTCAGCAATCAGGAAACATTTATTGCCAAAATATGTCAAACTTACAAGGAATTTGTCTTGGCGGTTGGTGCGTGACAGACAGTGTAACAATAGACAACAAGACAGCAGTGCACAAGTAATAAAATAAAGTAAAATGAAATGCTAATGCAATGGGTTATATATATATATATATATATATATATATATATATATATATATATATATATATATATATATATATATATATAAAACTCGTACGTAACTATCATAAGATAAAACAGATCATATTTACATAGTCATGCATAAACAGTTGTCCATATAATCCCCCTAATAGCTGGAGTGTCTGTGTTTTACTCGTCAGCTCACTTCAACGGATCACGTCCATCATTAATGAAACATGTCACTTATTTCTTTTCAGGATGGTCATCGGTTCTGTGTAAATGATCCTGGAACAATATTATCAATATTTTGGCCAACAGACAGGAAGAAAGAGACTTAGAACGACCACAAAGAAATCACGTGGTCTGAAATCCCATAAAAGAACCCGTATGCACATATTTCAATTCACACACAGTGCGGATGAGCTTCCGCGCTGCAGCCGGCAGGTGGCGCTCAAAACACACGAATCACGAGTGATACTCGGTGTCAATGAACGCTTACTTCATCATCCAGGAATTGAGCACATTCTTTGTCCTTAACATATGTGTATTATTTTTGTTTTAATTTTAACATCTCAAGATCAGTTATGTTTGAATTCAGATCTGATCAAACTGTATTTTTGTTGGGCCTTTTGTTTTTTTATAATAAAACGAAGATTAATGTTCGATCACAAATATCTACATTGTCCTCCTGTTTAAAAATATGTTCTTGTAACGTAATCATTTCTGGAAGAACTATTTGTGTTCCTTACTAAAATACCAATATCTCAATATATTAATACCTTCTGATAATAATCCAAAAAGTATTAGCAGCAAAATACCGAAAAGTAACAGAGTGGCTCCTGTTGATGTTATTTTATGATGTTATGTTATCATATTATTAGAGGTTAACATGACAGCTCATAATAATAATACAAATGTAAATGTTTACATTGTGTGCTCTTATTTTGAGGTGCAACGTGAGACAACATGTCAACAATCAATTTATATTCTAATATAAACCCTTTTTTGTATTTATTACCCGATTCCGTTTCCCTGAACACATTTGAATTTTAACCCACAATGTTAACACAGAAACGAAAGTGATCTTTTGATGACACAACAAGATGATGTGGAAAGATTCCAAGGACACAAAATCTCCGTGAGTCCAAAAAAAATGGACAAATGTCCCACTGCTCGTGAACACATCGCAGTGAAACTCCGCGGTGGGTGCGTGAGATGACTTTCCACTGTGTCACCGCAGTCACCTCGCAACACTTGTTCACACACCTTGAATGAAAATACACACGCACGCACGCGCGCACACACACGCCCTCCTGGCGGCCGTGGGCGGAGCCTCCTCGAGGTTATAAAGCGGCGGCGTAAAGTGCCGACGTGGTGACATTACGCACACGGACGCGGTCCCGGTCCCGGTCTTACCTGCGAGGTGTCGGCGCTCCTTGTCCACGCGGACTCTCTGAAGACTTTGCTGAAGACACGCGCGTGGAGCTGCGGGTAAGTCACCACGAGTCCTTCAGTTTGTGTTTCCACCATGGAGCGTTTCAACTAACAGGGAGGATGGAGGTCTCTGCAGGGACTTGTAATACTCCCACTCCTAATATTAATAATAATAGTATACATATATATCACGCGATATAGCATAATTAGGGCCTCCTTGTTTTATTTCAGAATATGATGCTAAATGTTCCAACGACATCGTTTGTTCCTTTTATATAGACTTTTTATTGAAGATATCCGCTGCATTATCGAGGACACATATAACGCGTAGCTGATGTCCCACATTGTCCATTGTACTTGTTCAGAAACAACAACGCATTAGTAATACACACTTGTAGTACATGGCCTCGGTGCTGCTAGCGTTCTGTTTGCTGATCCATTGGATAAATAAAAAGAAAACAATGATCATATTACAAGTTTAAATTATATTAATATCTGGTTTGAAAATCCTTCGGTAAAATAAATCGTGGGGGGAAAAAACTTTTACGCGAAAGAACCATAAAGATGATTCCGATACATCATCAGAATCACCGCATATTTGTTTTTGTGAATGATCCCCAAAAAGTTACTCAGTTTCTTACATCCAAGTGACTGAGGGAAACTTAAATGTACCCAGAAGTTCTTGTATTTCCACATACATACTTTCCTCAAACCTCTACAAGGAACTCTTTCTTTTGGAATTCGTCTGAGGTATTTATCAGATCAGCGTCACAGAGGAATGCGTCCAAAAGAAAAACCTCCCTGGTTTCGGCTCCGGGAGCCAGTTTGTCTCCTACCTGTTCCAGGTGAACTGGTCCATCAGGTGTGTCTCTCTGCTGCAGTGCTGAGTGCTGGACTTTAGTAGACGCTCTTATTTTGAAGGGTTTTTTTCTTTTTTTCTCTGACAACAATCTCATGACCCCTTTGATTAATCCGCCGACCCTATGAGGGGCCCTGACCCTATGTTGAGAACCTCTGGACCTGCAAACAAAGTAACTATTTTAACCCTAACCCTAACCCTAACATAATGAATACTTTTACTTTTGTACCTCAGTTTTATTACAGGGATACTGCTTTTAAAGCAGTATGTTTACATTTTTATATACTTGTACTGAAGTAAAGGATCTGAGTACTTCTTCTTTTGGTCTTCACAAAGTACACTGCTCCCCTCACAATGCTGTGACCTTGATTGACCTCTCCGCTCAGCTGATCATCATCTCTGTCTCCAGAATCTCGTTGGAAAGAAGATTAGATGATTGAGAGCGAGAAGAGATGTGATTGTTACCGCCCTCGGACCCCCGGACACTCCCTGCGATGTCCCAATGACCTCTGACCCTCGCACCATGGACGCCCGTCTGCACGGCCTCCCTAAGCTCCAGCACGGGGTCAACAGTGGTGGCGGTCAAAGCCCCCGACCAGGCGTAAGTCTCTCAGAACTTCAACCAACGCTCCACTGGACTCGCCTTGCAACATATTTCTTTTAGATATTTGCAAACAAAACAAAGTCCGATTTATTTGTGACCCCTGAGGACAAAGGCTCGTATAACTAAACCCTCATGGTCTCGTCCCTGTAAACACAATTATAAATGGATGGCTTCGCACAACTTTGTCATTATTGACGCACAAAGCGACACACAAACTGGTTCAGCTGCAGTTTTTCAAGGTCAATATGCGCCGTTGAGTCCGGCTGAAACCAGCAGACCGGCGTGTTTATCTCTTACTGTTTCAGTTGGGTGTTGCTGCAGGTGTAGTCGTGTGTGTGTGTGTGCTTGTGTGTCTGCGTGCAAAGAAAAAACAAGGCAACGTCAGCAACAAACCCTGTTGCCGCCAAAGGTCGTCGCCTTGAAATGTCCCTGAAATCAGCCGCTTCCCTTCGGTGGCTTTGTGATTTCCGTGGGACGCGGCTCGAGATCAGAAGGTCCCTTTAAAGTCTCCTTGTGCGTCACTCAGGTGATGCTCACTGTGAAGAAACCAGAGTTATCGTGGGTTCAGTTTTAGGGAGTTCTCTTATTCTCTTTGTCTCAGAGTTGAGAAGAAGACTGAAACCTCATCTGTCCAGATAATGTGAGCTTAAACGGGAGGACTGGGATCTTCATCAGGACAGAAGTCCAACCACCTCCCCCCTCTCCATCCTGACGCGTCCCATTTAGCTTTTATTTGGTCTCAGACCCGGTCTGAGCTGGACAGATAGCCGTAGATGTACCGAGAAGTGTGTGGCGTTTGAGCCCAATTTGGGGTTGGGATTGGAAACCAGCGCCTTGGGTTGGGACGCGGAACAAACGGACCTGTGTCCGGCCTGCACACATGACCCCTGTGTGATGGAGTCTGAGCGCCTCGCTGCGTGTTACAGAACTGTAATCCAGTGGAAAAAGTCTTTTGAAACACAGAATTACTTAATCTTGAGAAACTATTTTTTAAATCTTGCCCTCTTAAATAACAGTCCAATTATATCTTATTTTGGTTATTTGGTATTTATGGGGATTCACAAGTATGTTAAAGAGGTAAAGACACCTCAGACCCTACTGAAAGAAAGCAGAAAAAGTATTTTATTGAAAATATTTTGATCACACAACTGATCTCCTTGTTCCCCGTTGGCCTCGACAGGAAGACGATCCTCTGCACTACCTGAGCCGAGAGGAGCAGGAGTGCCTAAAGTTCTTCGAGAAGACCATTGACTCGTTGGATGAGAGCCTGGGGCCGGTTGACGGACCCCAGACCGCTAATCCCTCCCTCTCAGCCAGACGTCCAGGACCCAAAGACCAGGACATCATTTACCTGGTCCGCCCAGAACCAGACCTGGTGCAAAACAAAGCGCCGGCCTTCAATCCCAACAGCCCAGGTAGATCTTGTGGCCAAGACGACAATTATGGTTTATTCCATTCATACGCCGGTCTACAGTCAGCAAATGGCTCCAACTGCAGCTCTGAAAGGAGCCGCAGCTTCCCGTCTATCTTAGATTTTCACTTTGCAATTTGTTCCTCCAACCACAGATTTTAAGAGTATGATGCAGAACCCAGAGAGCCACGTCGAGATGAGGCCGAGGCGTGAAGCGCTGGACGGCCTGCCTTCGGAGTACAACCCTCCTCTCCCAAGTGGCAGCTATGGGCCGACAGACCAGCACTCCTCGTACCATCCTCCGGGCAGCATCCCCACCCCGGTGCTCATCGCACAGCAGATGGCCGATAACAGGGGAGGTGGAGCCTCCAACTTGCAACCCTCCTCCTTCCTCCGTAGTCACAATCAGGACCACGACAAGCCACAGAGCCCTGTGGGCGATCCTCACGCCAAATATGGTCCTCCTACCTCTGCTAAGGCATCCCGCTTCCCCACTAACATTAGCGTGACTCCCCACGGCAACAAGGAGAGCCAGAACCAGTCGCTGGGTAACGTGAAACTCCAAGAGAGGCGGTCGCAGATGCTGGCTAACCTGTCTGGAACGCCGAACGCTCTACTGCAGGAAGACCCTCAGCTGGCCCTGGATCCGTCGCCTCGGAATGCTCCCGCCCGCAGCTTCTCCTTCAAGGACTCCTCGCCGGACCAGTCCAGGAACCGAGCCATATCGGGAACGCCGAGTGCTCTGCTGCAGGAAGACCCTCAGCTGGCTCTGGAGCCGTCAGCTCGGAATGCTCCCACCCGCAGCATCTCCTTCAAGGACCCCTCGCCGGACCAGTCCAGGATGGAGGCCCTATCCAAGTTGGGCCTGAACAGGAACCGAGCTGGTGGCCGGACGTCCTTGCGCGACGTCCCCGACGGCACTCCTCAGAGTCCTCCGATGGACAAGGGAACCAGCAGCAAACCGCCGGAGGCCAGCAAACCGCCGGAGGCCAGCAAACTACCAGAGGCCGGCGCTCCCCAGACGCCAGACCTTAAAGTGCCAAAAAAAAACGTTGCGATGCCGCAGCAGAGTCTGATTCAGACTGAAACGAAAACAGAGATTCAGCGGTCGGATTCTCTGAGGAGGTTTGACGAGAGAAGGCATCTGCTGAGCCTCTCGTCTCTGTCGGTCGCCCAGAGCACCGCCTATCTGCCGCCTCCTTTGGACGACATGGCGTCTTTCCCTCCTCCGCCCGAAGTCACCTCACACGAGTTAAACAGCTACGGGGTGCGGTCCATCAACGTGAACCCCTCCGTCTCCACCAGGAGGGAACTCGCAGCGCCGCCTAGCCACGGACCCAAAGTCCTCCCGACCGGGCTGTCCAACCCCAGCGAGTTCAACTCCTACGGCGGGAAGACCAAGGTCATGAACCCCGCCCCCGTAGTCGGGACCAGGAGCAACCTCCCCGACCTCCTCGGCCCTCACGTTGACCGCAGTCAGACCTTACCCACCAGATCCGAGCCGCCGCAGCCCACCGAGCTCAACAGCTTCGGCGGAAAGAGCCGAACCTTTAACCCCGCAGGCGGGCTGGACCGCCCTACGGACAGACCGGCGAGGAGCTCCAGAGCTCCGCCGCCTACCCCGGCCCCGAGACCCGGCCGCCACTCCTACCACGGCGGCGGCATCGTCCCTCCTCACAAACCGGTGCCGCGAGCATCGTCCCCGGAACACCGCCGGAAGTCCGCCTCCACGTTCCGCCCCCAGGGCATCACAGTGCAGTTCTCCGGGAAGGGGGCGACTGACGAGTCGCGCAGGGAGGCGCTGAGGAAACTGGGGCTGCTCAAAGAGCCTTGAGGAAACTGTGGAGAGAAGCCGGTTGTGGCTTCCTGCAGAGGTTGCTCCTGGAAAGATGAACTTATTTAAATCACAAAACGTTTGACTCCAATGAGGCTGATTGTGAAAAGCCATTGCCTGAAAAGTTCTTCTCGAAAAAAGGGTTGGAAATATTTTTTATTTGATGTCAACAAATCCCGATGAAAAGAGATCAAAACCAATAATGTGGGCAGAAATCCTTTCAACTCCCGGAAGGTTGATTTGGCAAAAATTGCAGTTTTACGCTGCAGGATACTCAATAGTAGCTAATTATGCACTCGATAAAAAATTGTTAAATTATACATTATTCTATCAGCACATTTTATTTGAAATATTTTTAATATATTATACTCAAACAGATGTTTCTGTATCCAGTTTAAGTCATATTTGTTTTATGGTATCAATTAAAGCAGCTCACAGCACAGTGAAATTAATGTTCGAACACATGCTGTGAAAATACTATGGAGCCTTTGGCGGGTGAGGGGGGGGGGGGTTGTTTACAAAGTTAAAATCATCAATGTCCTTAATCTCCCCATCGATGCCCTTAACCTCCCCATCGGTGTCCAACCTCCCCATCGATGTTCCACCTCCCTCTCGATGGGCCTAAACTCTCCCTCGGTGCCCTTAACCTCCCCATCGGTGTCCAACCTCCCCATCGATGCCCTTAACCTCCCCATCGATGTCCCTAACCTCCCCATCGGTGTCCAACCTCCCCATCGATGCCCTTAACCTCCCCATCGATGTCCCTAACCTCCCCATCGATGTCCAACCTCCCCATCGATGCCCTTAACCTCCCCATCGATGTCCCTAACCTCCCCATCGATGTCCAACCTCCCCATCGATGCCCTTAACCTCCCCATCGATGCCCTTAACCTCCCCATCGATGTCCCTAACCTCCCCATCGGTGTCCAACCTCCCCATCGATGTCCCTAACCTCCCCATCGGTGTCCAACCTCCCCATCGATGTCCCTAACCTCCCCATCGATGTCCAACCTCCCCATCGATGTCCAACCTCCCCATCGATGTCCAACCTCCCCATCGATGCCCTTAACCTCCCCATCGATGTCCAACCTCCCCATCGATGCCCTTAACCTCCCCATCGATGTCCCTAACCTCCCCATCGGTGTCCAACCTCCCCATCGATGCCCTTAACCTCCCCATCGATGCCCTTAACCTCCCCATCGATGTCCCTAACCTCCCCATCGGTGTCCAACCTCCCCATTGGTGTCCAACCTCCCCATCGGTGTCCAACCTCCCCATTGGTGTCCAACCTCCCCATCGATGCCCTTAACCTCCCCATCGATGTCCCTGACCTCCCCATCGATGTCCCTAACCTCCCCATCGGTGTCCAACCTCCCCATTGGTGTCCAACCTCCCCATCGATGTCCCTAACCTCCCCATCGATGACCTTGGACAACGATGCTGCATTGGTCGCAGTAAAGAGCTTTCTACAAACACACGACGCTGGAGGATATTTTTACTCCTCACACACCAGCCGCAGGCTGTGGGGGTGTGGGGGGTAGGGGGGGACCTGTGTGGGACAGGGACGGGGGGGACGGGGGTACTTAAAGTGCTCTTCAGGACGAGCACATTGTACCAAACATAAGCACTGAAAACCGCAGTCCAGAAATACATCCTGGTTCACTCGTCTGGATTCCTGTCGAGCTGTTGTCAAATGCTTTGGGACATTTTGCAAGAGTGTGTGTGTGTGTGTGTGTGTGTGTGTGTGTACATGTGTGTACGTGTGTGTGTGTGTGCGCGTGTGTGTGTGTGTGTGTGTGCTGGTTTTACCAAGACTCCGGCCTCTGTGGCTCGCCTACAGTATCTTTCGAAGTATATTTTATTTCCACAAAGAAGTACAAAGGTGCTTTTCTTGTGTGAATATTTAGTTTTGTTTACAGACTCCGGTTCTCTGTAGTTCAGCTGCAGTCATTTTGAAGGATCTAAAGGTGCGTACAGACAGCGTAGGAAGACGTTTGTGCACAGGAGCACGGAACAGGGACTTTGAGAAGTGCATGCGTGTGTTTGGTGAATGGGATCATGTGAGCGGAACAACACCCGCCTACTTTCTGAATTATTTAAAATGTCCATGTTATAAACTGTATTAAGTCTGCTTGAAATGTATCATTAATATTGTTATCGATCATTAAACAGAATAACGTCTTCACTAAAGCTGTTTTTAATTGACTCTGGAATGTAAGGAACAGAGAAGTGCTGCTCAGCGATTGGACGGAATAATTCACCTGAGCGGAAACTCACAGGATTCTTTAAAGGTGATGAGGCGACTTTCTGAAAAGGCATCACGCGTATTTACACATAAAAAATCAGTTCACTTTAAAATGTTTCCCAGCCTCCGAGGGAAGAAAGAGAATTCTGGCAGCTTGCTTTTTAGCGGACGGTTGCCGCTTAGCTTAGCTTAGCTTAGCTTACTTTAGCATAAAGGCTGGAAAGAGAATGCGTTTCCATTAAACGTCTGACCAGTCTGGGAGAGCGACGCCAGCTTAAAGCGTCGCACAAAGAATCACACAAAGATGCTTTTTGTTACGTCAGGCGTTCGTGCTTCACCATTGACTCTCTCGATGGAGCGTAAACGTCGCTCAGCGAGTCGCCGCCTCGTTACGGCGCATTCCTCACTGTCACCTCCAGGTATGCAGATCGCGTTGAGACGCCGGGCGGAACTGGAGAACAAAGACATTTAGTCAATTAACCGGTTCACTGGCTGCATTATTTAAAGGGCTGTTCCATGAAGGGTGGGTGTGCGACGTACTTCTACGCCGCATTGGACACTCGCCTCTTTTTTGGCCGCTCTGAAAATGGCGGCCATGATAAAACGTGTAATAACTCTGGAACTACTTTGTATATTTGTACAATTTATGTGTGTAGGGGTAAAGGAACCACTGTAAGTGCTATAATGTGTAACAATCAGTGTTACTGTTGAAAAAATCTATCAATATTATGGTCCTGGTTCTGAGCTGGTTCTGGCTCTCGTTTCCAAAGGGAAACACAAGTTTACTCTACATGTAGAATATTTTCCCCTCTTGAAGCCAGACATTCATTCACGACGTGTGTCCCTCACACCCGATTTAGGAATGAAACTGAGGTGTTTAAGCATCAGATCACAAACACTCCATTCACTTGATGATCTAAAGTGATTAAAAAACCCACACAAACCTTGTGTTTACTTTAATTACATTTAATGTCAACTGTGTCCTTTGTCTTTTTAATTGTTACAGCAGGAAGAACCTGTTTGTGTCCCTGAAGGCTTCCGGGTGCAGCGTGAACTCAGCAGAGCTGCACAGACGTTCAGAGGCAGGAAGCAGGGACGTATTTATGTTTCCTCGCCCTGTAATTAGGACCTGGACCAACGCCCCCCCACCCCCCCCCCCAGAACACACAACCCTCATTCCCTCACTTCCTCCCTGGATTCTGCAATGAATCTCCTTCCGCGTGGGGGGGGGGGGTGGGGGGGTCACTACAAATGACAAAAAGAGCCATGCAGCCGAGTATAATAATAACAACCATTCCCTCCACTACAGTTACACTTCAAAGCAAACCGAATATTGACCAGGAAAGAAAATCAAGTGGAATTCAAGCCACGCTAACTGCTCCCTCCCACTCACAGTCTTTGTGCTAAGCTACGCTAACAGCAGCGTCACATGTTCACAGTACAGATGATTAGTAGCGTGTTTGCACTGGATGGTAAATGATTATTAATTGAAACTACATCTCATAATTTACAGCATTTATCGGAATAAACAGTTGGCAACTCTTTATTTTAGGGGTCTCTTCATTTCACATAGTTTTGTAAAAGCGATTATCAGTAAACATTTTGTAGGTAAAATCCTGGAAAATAATATATATATTCTCTTTATGAATGTAAGGAAAATGTTTTGTTTTTTTATTATTATTATTGATTATTTTCTCATTTAATATTTTTCAATTTATAAACTGTAAAAAAGAAAAAACAATTCACGGCCCAAAAACACCAAATATTTTGGACTGATGACAATATAAAATAGAAGCTACAGAAGTCCGGAATGTTTCTTTAACAAAAAATGATTTAAAGGAACAGTCAATCCCAAAAATAAATCTGCTTTTCTTTTCAGAAATCATGTTTTTTCATCAACTATTTTATTTCTAGGGAACTGCGCTGGGCGACCTGGACACGAGCTTCCTCCTGCGCGGAGCTAATCAATGCAGTTCCGAAGAAAGAAAACCGGTGGCTGTGGTTTTTATTTGGGGGTGTACTGTCCCTTTAACTGTTATGAACCAATCATACGGCCTCAGATCATCGTCTATTTTCGTCATCAATTACTTTTTTCTTTAGAGAAACTAAAACAAAGTGTTACAGAATTATAACGACCCAAAATAACGATTAATATCCTCTATGTAACCAGACAACCACTCCGGATCAACGTCTCGCACCAGCGGCCCACGTTTCAAAACACACCTGTGTTGAAGCCCCGCCCCCTCTGTGTTGCCTTGACGACCGTGTGCAGGTGTTTCCTTCAAAAGTTGCAAAACGGCAACCAACCTCCCCCACTCGCTGTTTTACTCTTCTTGTTCCTGCAGCGCGGGGAGGTGGCTTGGGGTGCGGGGGGGGTTCGGGGGGGTCAGGGAGGGGTCGGCAACTCCGTCTTCCTGACTTCCTGTCCCTCCATCGCCGCTTCCCGTCGTCACGCCGCTGATACGGCTTTTGTAGTTCCGATCCAGACAGATTTTTTTTTCATTTTACATCTCAGCCAAACAGAAAAAAAAGGGAGGCCCCTCCCCCCCCCCCCCCCCCCATCGAAAACTCCCGAAAAAACACACCGCATTGTGACCCTGACCCTTTAGGTTTAGTCTCTCCTCGTTGAGGCTTCGCGGCCCTTCGGGTCGGGGGGGCGAGATGAACCCGCGGCCTGGGGTTTCCTCTTCTCAACTATCCTTCTCTCCCAGAACAGTGGGGTTTACCTCGGCGGCTGGGGGGGGGGGCGTCTGGAGGACTCGTTCCCTCTTTAGACCGGCTTCCCCTCTCATCTCTCTCCCCCTCTCTCTCTCTCGCTCTCTCTCGCTCTCCCTCTTCCTTGCTCGCTTGTTCAATCGCTCGCTCGTTCGATCAGCCCGGACCGGGACTCCCGTCAGCGTCTCCTGGGGACAGAGCAGACATTTACTGTAGACGGGACGAGCCAACGGGGGACAGCCGGGCGGGAGACACCAGCAAGTCCCTCTGGCTTTTGTTTTTTAGGAAAACAAATGTCAACCGCAATGAATTTGTCGTGACTCAATTGTGGCACAAATTAAACATGACGACGTTTGGTAATTTAATGGATTATTATGGGTTTTTTTCAAACAAAATGAGGACGCGGACACGTGGGACATTCGGATCAGGATGTGTTCTTCTTTCCTTCTGATCTTTCCTTCGCCTCATGGAGTTTATAATAAATGCCACGAAAAGTACGGAAGCTCGTAGAAGTCAGAAGGGCTTTAACCGAATAATCACTTCAAATGTAGTTTTACAATCGGTAATCTGTGTTTTAATTTACATAACTTGCTGCCACATAATATTAGTTGATGATGAAATTACAACTCACCATAAAAACCTCGTCCCGTTT